AAGAGCAGACTCTTTGTCCAGCTCCCAACAGGCAGACTGCATAGACAGCATAATCCAGAAGGTAACCTGGCCATGCTATAGCTTCAAAGTAGGGGAAGTTTGTTCCTGGAGAACACCCAGAGGTCACTTTCACTCTACACATGCCAAAAATGTTCAGTTCCTCCTAAGTTGTTTGCTTCATCTCTTCCTATTGCCAAGGTACAGCACTGGTATGTGACCACTACAGAGAAAAATAGGATGATTAGCACTAAATAGTATTTGCTTTAGTCTGAGGAATAGTGTTGCTTTTTGATTTTTTTCCCAGCTTTGAAGTAGTAAGTAACCAGCACAGCTAACATCAAAAATTCACCATTCCTTGAATCTGCAGAATGCTATAGATCAGTCAATAAAAGATACCTGGCCTACTTTATTCTTAAGCTGACCTCAGAGCCATTCTTGGATTTTTTTCTATTTATTCATTTTCCTGTCCAGGTACGATGCTCTCATGTCATTTACTAAAGATTTAGCAGAGACTGCCTTAACAGAGGCTTCCTTTAGGTAGTAGAGGTGGCTCACTGCACCCTGTAGTTTCTTCTCTGTGTTCAAAGATGGTAGATATTAGAAAGCATCAATTTAATTTGTCCAGACTCTGTTGGATGCTTCTCTTTTTGCATTTTTCAACTATTCTGAGCTAAAACAGATAGTGTGGTGAGACAGGTTAAATATGCTTCCGTTCACTTTAATGGCAGAGCTCTTTTAATTAAATGCAACATGATGTTGAGTTAATATTATCCAACATCTGGATTACGAAAGAAAAACTCTTCAAAACCAACAGACACTCATGTCTTGAGTATTATTATTATAACTCAAGTTATATTTTCATTTCAATTCAAAGAAGATGTACAATTTTTCAAACCTCATTCCTACTCTGCACTGCTTATGAAGAAAGACCTGTTTCATTTCTGACACACCTGGGTTAAAACTGTAAAAATGCAGTAGGTAGGTAGAGAAGTGCATTCACAAGATTCTCTTGTCCGTGATAAAAGACAATCAGATAGCATGGTTCACCTGAACCTGCCCCAAATGCTGTAAATATTTTTCACTTTCAGAAACCAGGAAGATGAGGTGTATGAGGCTGAGCAAGGTTTGCTCACTTGCAGTAATTAAGTAATTCTGAAGCTTGTGGTAGCTGGTAGTTTATACCCTGAATTTTCTGGGCTGTTACTGTGCTTCAGTTGTGTTTCATCGGATGTAAGCAATGTTTAGATAATAACTTAATGCTATTAAATAAAAAGGCTAGGAAGGAGTGTCAATCAAAATAAATAAGGGTTAGAAACATGACTGGAGAAACATTGGCTAAGYTAGTCTCTCTCAAAATTTGGTGTTTTGTGTGGAAAGGAAGTCTTAACTTTCATGGAAGTCAACAGCACTCAAGGACACTGGCCATCATGTATAACTTCACCTCATACACCTCATTACAAAAGTTACCTAAATATAGAGTAAGTGTAGGCATATGTAAGACATATTAAAAGCAGATCCTACATCTTAAACAGAAGCATAGAGTATTACAGAATATTTCTATAGGAACTTGATCGTTCCCTTCTCCCCCATTTATAATAGTAAGGGAGTTTTAGCTACAGAGTAATGTATTGCAGACATTGTAAAGAAAAAAAAAAAGTGAAGGTACTCTCTTCTTTCTGTTTATTACGATTTGGACCTGCAACAAGATCTCGTGTGGGAGGGTTTTCCCCCGCAGATGTTTTGCATCTGCCCACATACTCTGAGAAAATACTGAGAGTGAGTCAGGATCCCCTGCACATTCCTCACATAACACTTCTGTACACTTTTCTTTTGGTGAAAGACAGTGTTTCCTCATCTTCTTCATGCAAATACCTGTATTCTAGTTGTCTCTAAATCTTCTAGTTGAGAGGCAGGCATCTAGCTGTTTATATTTACATGGAGAATCCAAATGAGCACAGTATATTCTCCCAAATAGATGTTTGGTTTCAAGGACCGTGAAATCATTTTATTTGGGGAAACCCAGCCCTGCTGCACTTGAAAAGTACACCAAGCAAAGGAGTACAACAACTCACTGGTATTTTTAATTGATCTGGTATTTCTACCCGGTGCCACCCTTTTCCACACCTCCTACCTCCTCCTTAAGTGACTCAGCCTCGGGAGGAGAAGCCTYCTGGCTTTGCAGGCAGCCGGATGGAGAACAACCCTATAGCTCTCTGGCTTCTTTAACTGCAACTCTTTTCCAGATATCCCCAAGTCAACATACTGCCACTCCAGGATACTGTCTTCCACCATACGTAGGTAAGATGATTTACTTGCCTCCTTTTTGTCTTTTTCAAGCATTCAGTGATATCTGAGTGTCTAACTTAGGACCCTTCAGGGGATCTGATTTTCAACAGATGTGGAGAACTTGTCTGTGAAAATCCACCTCTTAAAGTCTCTCAGTTTGAGTGTTCCAATCACTTCTGAAATCTTATCTTGGTTAAACTATCTTAATCAATTGATTACATACATTATATCGCCAGTATTTTACTGTTATTTCTCTGACTGCAAACTCGATGTTCTCAGAGATTTAGATGAATGTGTCTTTTGCCCTAGGGTTTGTTTTACAGTGTTTATTTATACTTTCTTTGGTATTTTGCCTAAAATGAAACAAAGAGAATAAAAATTGAACTTACTTGAATTTGCTTTAAGTGTATAATTTCTGAAAAAAATAGCAATAGTTTAACTTCTTTAAGGACAGGCTTGTGAAGTGTTTGTAAACCATTTCAGTCTTTGCAAAATATATAGAGCAAAAATACTTATTTTACTTTTATCACATTTTTCTTCCATGACCTGAACTCATTAACAAGCAGGAAGGGTTCTTCATGAAAAATATTGAAAAGTGAAAGGAAAGCAATGAATAAAAACATTTATAACTAACACTCTTTTTATATTCTATACAAAAAAGCCATTAAAAATCTCATTTAAAAATACATAAAGTTTATGTTCTGATCTAGCAGCTTATTTTATATCAGTGACAGTTCCAAAGCTGAATTTCTTTCAAAGCAGAATCTCGTAYGCCTACGTCCTGAAAAACCAGTTCTGAGAGCTTTCTGCTGCAAATAGATGAATGATTTCTATCTTGTATCTATGTGTTCTCTAGTTCAACCTTCCCTGTTCTAACCTTAACTTGTTTTACTTTTATTCACATGTACATGTCCTACTCTTCATGAGAGTTTAGGTCAGTTCCGTGGCCTAAACAATATAGTGAAATGTTCACTTAAACACATCTTAAACACATGTTATTTCCAGAAGTTTACAAGTGCAGTATATATTTCTCTGATATGAGATGCAAAAAAAACATTGTTAGTTTTGTTTATATATATATATATATAAAAGCATGTATATGTCTATAAAATACATTTAGCTTTTTTTCCTTATATTTTCAGAAAAATGACATATAGACTAAGTAGTGGCCGTGTAAAGAAAAATTCTTTCAGACGTGGTATTGAAGTATATTAATGACACCCAAGTGTTCATTAAGCTCTGACTTAATGCTTGGTACTGAGCTGAGTTGGCAGCAACATYACTTTATTTCACGTGCTCATCTTTGGTTTTGAACAGGGGCAGTTGGTGACATCTGTTACACAGATCTGAAGCCAGCAGACTGAACTCTTGAGGATATTTAGGAGATGTTTACTTTTCTACTGATATYCTTGGCCAAAGTAGCAAGCTTGGAAATGTGAAGGATAGCACGGAACTGGCTGCTTTAAGCAGGTTCCAGTTGTAACAGTGATTTGAAAAATAACCTTTATCTGACGGTAAGAAGTGAAGTCATGTCTAGAAGTCCAAGTGCCYTTTTGTAAAGGAGGCAGCTATATCTCGCTATATAGTTGCAGCATCTCTGATAGGGTTCTGGTAGATTCTCATTTGAGGGGAGAAATGCTGTCTGTATGGAGGGAAATGCAAAATTGCTATTGAATACTCACACCAGCAAGATTTCAACTCATACACTTACGGGTGTCTACTCAGAAGAAAAATTGTCATAAGAAAGGACAAAAAAGATAAATTATTATAGACTTCTGATGTTTTATTTGTGAGGTTTGGAGGTCTTGATCTCTAATCAGGCTAAAATGGCTTTAGTCATTTGCTCGCTTGCACATCTACATCCTATGGTTTTCAAGGAAAATGATACAGAAAATAACAAAGTTTGAACTGATATAAAAGTTCTTAACTGAAGGCAAGGAAGTACTGTTGTGTGCTTTGGAACTGTGGATGAGTAGGAACAAATTTGCTTTTTGTTTAAAGATATCATTATCTTCCATATTCATYTCATGCAAGTGAAAGATAAGCTATATAAGATAAGCTATATCAGTTCTAATGTTCAACTTATTTTACAGTGCAGCACTTTTTCTTGTGAAAAGTTCCATTTTTGGGGCAGAGAAAGAACAAATATCTATATTTTATTCCTTATATAGCAGATATTTCATGTTTTAGAAAATCTGGAGCTTCAAGAACATAGTAGGTGCAGAAAAGAGTAGCCAGATAACTAAAGCTGTGTAGAGCCATGTAGAAGGAATGTGTTTGTTCCAGATGGCATTTCATGTGTAAATACCAGACTTTATCATTTCTGTACTTGCTTACTTGTTTCAACAATGTAGCACAAGAGGGCAGGAAAATTTTTATTTGAATTTTTTAAATCTAGATATTTTCATTTTATTATCCAGTGCATAAATAATTGTAYGGAGTTCAATATTTTTGACATTCACATTTGGCAAGGCTTCATCTGAAAAACTGCACTATGAAGACAAATTATTTGACTTTTGATGAGAAAAGATAGTGTCCCTCACTCTGCTCTTTAAAATTCATTGTGTTGCATTCTTTATTATACAGTGTGATGATATGCAGTACCTTTAAGCTGGGGAAATAAATATTGTCTATTAAAAGTAAAATGCATATCATCTGAATATTTACATATAAAGTCTTAATTACTATCAATTACTTTCATAGCTAGAAGCTAAAGGACAAAACCTTTTTTTTTTTTTTTTCTGGTTGCAATTAGTTCAGTCTGATGTGGAAAAAAATGATCCTAACAGGGAATGTTTGTATTTAACTTGTGTGTTTTTTGTTTGCTTTGTTTTTAATAAAGCAATGCATACCTGTGAAATACGATTATGTGGGAAAAGAGTACTCTGTGTTGGAAGAACATGTGTGCTCAAGCTACCTTAAAACTAGAAGCCTTATTTTTAGGATTTATGGGTGCCTGAGGTGTTCTGCTGTCCGTCCAGGAAGGATGTGGAAGGATGTGGAGATAAAGTAGTTCTTTATGATAAAACGAAAATCATAGACTCGTACTGTGAGCGACCTGCTACCAGCTTGAAGAGACATTTGGCTTTCTCTGATGTCATTTGAAGCTTTTCTACATTTCTTTGGGATTGTATTTAGATTTCTCTAAGGATATGTGTTGTTGTAGGAGTCTGAATCCAGGATTGGCATGTCTTAAACCTATATGGCTATTGCTCATTGGACTGGCTGGAGCAGTTTTCATTTTCTTCTAAAGTTTCCTGACGCTGTTTTTAAATTCAAATTACACTGAGCTGCCTTCCTGTTTGTTTTTGTTTTGCATTCCAGCTCAGTTATTYTGTTCCAGTGGTGGAGTTGTTATTAAAAATGCCCCCGCACGCTATTTACTACTTTGCTGTAGAAGACTAAAGGTTCTCTTTCTCACAACTCCATGTTCAAAGATATTTTCTTGGTGTCTCCCAAATCATGGTCTGAAAATAAATAGTTCACTGAACTTCCTGAAAAATATGATGATTCCAGATCTTTGAGATGAGATTTTTTTACTAGATTCTAAACTAATGTGATCTCCAAATCTTCTGTTCCCTTCTCCTATGAAGACACATACAGACACACACACTCTGACTTCACAATAGTAAAATCGAAGAAAAAATGCCTTGAGGAGCTGCATATTGACTCTTCAGCTATGATGCTTTTCATTAACGTCTTGAAACTTAAATCTTACTCTGGTGATTCTTAATGGTCTGTGCTAGAGATTAAAGAAGGATTTTTTTTTTTTTTTTGGCATTCCAAATTTTAATTGATTCATTTTCATTTGTAATTTGAAAGAAAGTACAACAGCAAGAAGTAGACTATGAGGACAACATAACATCATTCTCTAAGACTAAAATCTATAGGTTTAAGTTTCCAGAGTATCTGGTACATTTTAAATATGCTGATCACAAAAGGGAGTACAAGTATTTCTCATATTCGTTTAGGCATATCACCTTTGGCCTGGCAAACTTAGTAGTTCRTTCTGGATGCCCTATGCATGTGCAACAGCAATATATGTTTTACTTTACACTTTATAGAACATGTAAACATGTATTTCCAGTTAACACTAGAAGTTGAATGAGGAATTTTTGTTCTACATTGTCTTTAATTCATTACTAGACTTTCTCTTGTCATGTGTGGGTACAACAGGTATATGTAAACCTGTCTTTCAGTTACTTTCCAAGGTCATTGATGTATTCTTTAGTTAATCTGTAGATGGTACAGACAAGTTACTTGAGTATAGCTAAATACAGTGACAGATTTTTGAGTTTGGAGATAACTTATATATTAGACCAATAGTCTGAGGCATTGATGTTTATTTTTAACAAAAGTGTGTAGTACTGGCCTGACAGTTCTGTCCAAAATGTAGGTTCCCCTCATGAAAGTATGAAAAGAAATGATATAGCATGCCATGAAGAGTATATAGCAGTTTCCTATTATTCTTCTTGAGAAATACTAAAATTGCAAAATGCAGGGTTTAAGTAAGATATTTTAAGTCTTACACTGACAGGATTTGCTTTGATTTTCATGAAAGAAATTGAACTTTTCAAAGTTTTGTGATTCACTTCCTTTAGGAAACTGCTTTAAAAATTCCAAGATCCTTCCATGTAAACTACAGATGAAGAAGTGCCAATGCTCATGCTTGTGAAACATTGAAATGTCAAGCCTCCTAAATCCAGAGTGAGATGAAGAGCAATATCAGATGTCAAACTGTTCCTAAACTGAAAACATAAATCAGAGTCCTTTCTATTATTTTKTTTCTTATGTAACTGTCACAGTTCAGGAAAATACAGAGACAAAATAGTTACTATCTAAAACTGACTGCTTGATAACCTATTTTTTAAGAAATCAAGTGAATATCTGATTAAAATCCCATGTCAATATCTTTGTAATATATTTTGTAACAAATTGCAAAATAAGTACAGTTCACCATGACTCCGAGCATATTTTTGTTGGGTGGGAACCAGATTCAGCAGTCATATGTTTTCTTCATGCGCTGTGTCAATAAGAGTTTGGTACTAACAAACAGTGCTGAAAGGAAGGAGTTTTGGTCAGGACGTTCAAATCCACATGCCAGAACTTTATGGCTTTTCCAAGCATTTGGAATTTCACAATTGGGTAAGAAATAGGCAGACTTTTGGACTCAGATTTTTTTTTCTTTGTAGAATCACATTCTAAAAATTCTTGAATATATGAATGTTTGTATTCGTATTTTGGTTTTCTGCTTTCCTATTTCTCAGGTATAAGTTTTTACCACATACCTTGGCCATAAAACATTAAAAAAAATAATCTACTGCAAGTGCAGTTTTTCATGGCAAATAAAAGTTCCCATAATGCTTTATTGCTAGAGTACTTTTAGTACTTTGAGTACTTTTCTTAACCTTTTGCCAGAATTCAAYATTTTCCCCTTTCATCATTAAAGAAACAACCACAGACTCCAGGCTCTCAATCCACTCTCACATGAGTGAGCAAAACATGCTCAACTTCTGTAAGAAAACAGGACAACTGTGTTGCACAGAACCAGGAATGTTTTGGATATTTTTTTCTTTAAAAAAGCTGTCACAAAAATTGTTTTCTTTGGCTTTTGTAAATTTTAGTAGCCTGACCAGTGGAGCTGGTTGGAAGTGTTCCAACTTGACATTGTTTTCCTGGAAAACATTCAGAAAGTGTTTTTCAGAAAGCAACCCCTTTGCTAAGTAGGGTCAGTGTGGTCAATGCTTTAAGTCAAAGTTAAGACTGCTTTTTTTTAATAATTTTTTTAGAATATATTGGTTTTGTTTTTTACCATTAAAATATCTTCATGCTCTGCTTGAATGTTCCTTCACCAAAAACACAATACAAAAATGTTTGAGTGGTTCAGCTCCTCCCTCTTTTTTTTTCCTTTTTTTTCTTTTTTTTTCTTTTTTTAACCTTATTGAAATGAGAGACATATTTAAAATGAGAGTAAATCTGCAGAGAAGAAAGAACCCACATCACACCACTCTGTTGTGGAGCCCTGTGTTAGCTGCTGGCTATTGCAGCTGGCTGGTGAGCCCACGTGCACCTTGGGCATTGCTCTGAGCCACCAGACAGTACATCATCTTCAACAAGATAATCATCTCACCCAACTCTTCATTATTGTTGTCTCCTCTGAGGGCATTAACCACCCCACATAGTCTCAGGGAAGGAGATCCGTAGGGAGAAGCAGTGAGACGATGCAATAGATGCAGACGTGGGGCAGGTGGATCTGTAGTTGCTATTGGGGAGGGAAAAAAGGACTGTGCTTGACTTGGTTCAAGGAGATCTACAGCTGGCCCTAAGTAATCCTACTACATCTTACATCAGGGATGTAAGTGGCAAATGAACTGTCTTTGTGACTCTCTGAATCGCCAATTTACTCATTTTTCTTAACTTGTCTTTCAGATCCCACAGAAATACACCTTCTTGGATACAATGTCGGCTTTCGGCGTAYGGAAGCAACCTCCTAAGCAAAGTGGTAACGCCAGTTACCTATTCTCTTCTCTCGGGACACTCAGAGCAGTGGTTTAAGCACTGTGTCCTTCCTATCCCAAGAAGAGTTTCTGACCWTCTCCGTGCTTGCCATGTGCTTGCTTCCTAGGGCAGGCCACTGTGCTCCAGCAGCAGCACGCTGGAGTTTGGGAGGAAGAGTTGGGGGATTTGGGAGGAAAAAGTGCTATTGACTTGTAACAAGAGGGGATAATCTATTGCTCAAGAGGAGAACAAAACTTTAGTGGACCTTGTGTGGAGAAATTCCCAGGTGCAAGCTGGAGATCCCATAAAATTTCACCATCTTCCAGACCCTATRGAATATTTCTAATGGCTACAAGAAGTGAGGTGCAGGAAGGCCTGGTTTTGGCTCTACAGAGTCAGGCACCAGATACAGCCAAAAGCAGTGAGGAAGAGGTAGATAAAAAAAAAAAAAAAATAGGAACAGCAACGTTGTGGACCAGACTATGTTAAGGACACCAACTATTATCTGAATAAGAAGGGAATAAATGATACCTTTTTGTGCTCATCTGACCCAAACTGTTCTATCATATCCATACTAAATGTTTTGATGTCACCTGAGAGTTGTTTTCTTTTTTTAACCAAAAGTTAATAAAATAGTTCAGCAAAACTGAGGCCTCTAAATTTAGCAAATTACTCATGCTTTCTTTTCTTGAGATGTAAACACTATATACATTATTAGGTTGCTGCCTTTATATGTGACTTGCTGAAAAACTGTGTGCTTTGAGATCCATGATTTCTCTGAAATCCAAGTGATTTTTAGGTAGGTCATAATATTTTTACTAAAATGCCACTGTAAGAGAAATGGTGTTCCATAAGCAAGGTCAATTTTAGCAGCTGAACCCTTGAATACATTGGTATGCTTGGCTATATGTCATCAACAAGTAGTTCTTTGCAAAATTTGGAAAGAGTTAGTGCAATACAGAGCTAGATWTTGAACTTGCAGATAAGCAAGTATGGTTTGAGATAACTGTCCAGTCCTTGAATTTTTTTGGGAGAAAATGCACATGAAAAATATGTCTTTGCTGGTCTCACTTAAAATAAATGTTTGCTTTTAGTTGCTTTGTCATGATTTGTCTTCCATCCACTTAAATTATTTGTCATTGCCTGTGGTTATCACTACAGCTGAAGTACCTGGAGTAAAASCAAGAGCTTTGTTTTCTTGTAAATCAGAGCAGAATGTCAAAATACACTCCAACAAATGATACAACGGTGACTGCATGYGTTTTCTGTGGAGCGTGGCTTTTCTGTACGCAAGTTGTGCAGTGAAGTRTCCTGATGTCATTTTCTCTTGGAATGCAGCCATGTTAAACTTCTTTCACCTGAATGCTCAGGGAGAGGGGGAGGACTTTAGGTTGAAAATCACAAAGGTTTCCTGTAACCTTCCTGTAACAGTATTCTTCAACATTCAGTTTGCTGATTAACAGAATGCTATTGATAAAGGCTTTGAATATTTAGTTTTTTAATTTCCCCTATTCAAAAATTTCATTGCAAGTRTCACAGCTCAAAAACTGAGTTTCTATTAGAGCTCAGCTTTTAGACTTCCATTTTAAAGGGAAGTGTATTACATGATATTATAACACAATAACTTGCCCTCAAGAGAAAAAAAAAGACTGATGATAAGAAATTTATCATTAGGGCTGGATGATAAACTGGATCATAAGGAAGCAAAAGAAATGAGAAAAWTGGGCAATGGTCGTTGTCTTTGAACAATTTTGTTTGCTTCTTTGCCAAACTCCCCAAAAAGTGAAACCAAAGGAGATATTCATTAGCTMTCTAGTACACTAAGGAGTATTCTCACAGATCAGGAGACTATGGTCTTGTAGTTCTCACCAGCATTTGATAGTAGAAAATTCAGTCTATGGTGAATCTCTACAGATTTTGGCCATTTTAATAAAACTTCAAGCTTCCAGAGYTGTCTTATACTTTTGTTTTAAAAATATGTTTTTCTGCATTTGTAGATAACAAGAGCCCCTCCGTTGCAATTAAAAGCAGACAACAGGTTATTCAGGATATTAACAAACGACGGACCCTGTTGCAAGATAACAGCTGGATAAAGAAGAGATCTGAAGAGGAGAGGTAGGAAAGATACGAAGTATATTATAGCATTCTTTTAGTTTAATATGTTAGTTTAGTTTAATATCATTTATTTAGTTTAATATATTTTATTTGGATGTCTGCTTTTTTGTGGATGATTGTATCATCTAGAATAATTTTTGTCAGGAACTTATTTTCTCACCTTGATAATGTATTGATTACCTTTAGGGAGTCTTATTCTGGCTTTAACTGACTGCTTTTCAACAGAATATTTGTGCACTGAACATTTTATTGGATCTACTGAGAACTTCAGGGTTCTCCTCATCCTGAGAAACACAATCTTTCATGCATTTAGGTTACAGTAATACTATCTGACTTGTTTTACAGTCATGAACATCTATGGATGTTGACCTATTCCTACAAAGAGCTTAATGATGTAATTTGAAATTTATTGTAATGCAGACCTGGGCTTGAATTACAGCAGCAGCTCCACCTTGAGAACTGGTCCTGATTTTCTGGACCATGAGCAGCTCAAAGGAAGAAAAATTGTGTCACCAAAGTGATGGGAGCAACATAATGCAGAGATCATCAAATAGGGTGGTTACTCAGATAGTAGACAGCTGTAAAGTCTGACTGAGGGCAAAGATCTCTTGCCAAGAAAGAATTATCTGTTTTTAATATTTGCATTTTAACTAAATGTTATCTTTCTTTTGATTAAAGTGCTGATGAAAACTATGGAAGGGCTGTGCTTAACCAATACAAATCCCAAGACAGCCTACACAGGTACAGTAGTCTCTGAACATCTCTCTAATGCTTTCTAATACCTTTCTTGCCAAAGAAAGTTGAACATTCTTTTATAAACTCCTGTTTAAAGCAGGAGTTTTAAATCTTTTTTCATTCAGTTTTAATCTAGTCATGTTATTTTTGCAATCAGACCTTGATATCAATAAATGTTAACCTGGTAATTGAAATGGGTGCTAAAACYGGAATGATTGAAATCAAAACATTGATGTTTTAATTTTACATTTATGTGCTGTTTTAATGGTGACCATGTTTTAAATTAAGAACAGTGACCAAAGTGGCATTTCTAATCCTCTTTTTACAACAGTAACACAAATGAAAAGGAAGATCAGAAAACTCTGCTTGGACGATATAGGTCTGATACTACCTTGGACAGGTAGGGCTTTTTTGCCTTCTATATAGTATTTTGTGATTGTCATACTTGTGATAGGTTGTTTCTGTCTTTCCTTAAAAATGGAAAAATGAATGACGGCAGCTTGTAAATTAATACTTATACTAAGCATCTAAATAGCAAAACTTTATGTATTTCTGAATGAATTGCCGATGACAAATATAAATATGATATGAGAAATGGTTGTTTGAACATCTTTCTTTCTTYGTATCGATTTCTATATATTTTTATGTTCATGAATGTAAATACCTCTGTGCCCATGACCCATCYAGTCTTGTTTCTCATTTTACAACTATAAATCAAAGTCTTGTCTCCAATAGTTAATCATGACCAAAACATCAATTTGACTTGCAAATCCTTTTTACCACTTTGGACCATAATTAGTGCCAATATCAGAACCATATACTTATCAAACAAACAAGTTGAAAATTCTCTTCAATTGAGACCTCTGTAGAGTAGTTTGCTTAAGGTATGACTATGCCTATGTTTGCAGATTCCTTGCACATAATCTCTTCGAAATGAAGCCCACATTAACATGTGGTACCCACAGCATGCTAAGGCACTAGAATTTACACTATTTGGAAAAAGTGTATTTGTTTAGATCTTAGCACTGCCTATTTTCATTTATTGATCCTTCTTTTATTATAAGTGAGAAGGGGGCCGGAAAGTGAGATTGTTGCTTAAAATTTACTTTAGCCATAGAGCTCTGGCATAGAATAGACTTAAAACTGTGTGGTATCATCCCTCTGTTGATTCTTCTCCAGATTGATGAATCATTCATCATGAGGACGCCATTCTATTAACCTTTTATTTCCCTGTAGGATCTTATCCTATATTTTCTATTACCATTGCAATCTTTTTTGATCTCAAGGAATAAATTTGTATACAAATATTTAAGATGTGAGCACACTCCTATACATAAAGAGTATATTGATGTCCTTGGGTTCTCTACTCCTCTTATATTTCATAATATTGACTTTGCTCTTTTGAGTGCTGCTGAGGAATGAGCTCTCATTTTCATAACATTATATATCATAACTCGGAGACCTCTTTCCTGAGTGATAATAGTTTATTCAGAGGCCTAATGTTTTTCTTGGCRCACTTTGAATCTTAAAAAAGTGAATGTGATCTACCCTTTTAGAAAATTGACATTTTAGCAGATGATTTCTTGTTGCCTTGCCAATCAGCATTTGTTTAGACCACAATGACTTTGTGTCGTTGGCAAGCAAMAAAATTGTCTTCTCTTTCTTATTCCAAATAACTCATGAACATATGGAAAAGTACAGGTCTTGCAGATATCTTTCCCTTCAATCTGAAAAAATTGGCATTTATTCAAAATCTTCGTTTTCTCCCTTTTAACCAGTTATTTATATGTGAAATGTTTCTATTATGACATAATAGATCATTTCAAGAGCTTTTAAAGAGGAAATTTCTTTAAAGGTTTTTTTTTTGGAAATCCAAGTAGAATAAATCATTATGTCTCCGTTATCCATACACTCATTCAAAGAATATTTTAAGGATTTTTTTTTTTTTTTCCTGCAAAGGAGGCATGGCTTCTATGTCAGAAGTCATAGGCCAGTTCCAAAGGGGTTGCTGAAGRGTATTGTTAGATATATACACATCTTCATCTATTTAGGACTTTTTTGCTTTATCCTGAGTTATCATGRTGTCTGAATTATTTTAGGTTGTAAGATGAATATTTTCTTGTTCTAGTGTATACAAATATTTAACACTAAGTATTCTTGATATGTACCATATATGGCGGAATATGCAAASAAAGGAATACACAATTCTGATATATAATTCAGAATATACCCATTAGTGGTGTCAATAATCATGATTTGATCTTAGAATGGTTAAAATGAAGAAGTCTCAGTCTAGTTGTTCATTTCTCCTCATTCTTGACTGGTCTTCTCAAGCCTGCAGGCTCTAGCCATTGCAAGATTATTTTGTGCACAYCCATTGCCAGAAGGCACATCTATAGGGGTGGACCACGTGTCCTGCATTTCCTCAAACTTGGAAACTAAGGCATAAAAGGTTGTGGTGATTCATTTTATCCTGACACCTTTTCATAGCCTGCAGTCAATTTTAGTACTTCCTCTTTCTATATGAAGGAAGATTCTCCACCAGGTACAAATCCTTTAATTTCTTACAAATGATTTCTGGTGAGCAAAAGACAGAGTGGAAAAATACAGCACTGTTCCTGAACGTACCATAACATCTAAAAGACTATTTCTCCTTGAGAAGAATGACCTCCTTCCYGAATATCTAAGCTGTTTACAGAAAGTTGTCATCAGTTATGTTGTTTATAAGGAAAATTTTCATCCAGCTAGGATGTTATGGCAAATGGCCATGGCCATTTGCTTCTGTCCTAGAAAAGGCCACATTTCAAGGCAGAGATWGGAACAGCTTTATGCATTTCTGCTGTACATATCCTTGGGCCATAGCTGTAACTTTCCAAAAGAAAAGTACTTTAAGAATCTGGATCTATTTGGACTAAAGGTCTCTTCAATAKCCAGTTGGCAAATACTTTCTAAAGCTCTCATTAAAAGAAAAAGAAATTACAGGATTATTTTTGAATTCCTCAMTGCATAAGGGTACGTGACAGCAAAATTTCTCTACATGCCACTTTAAGTACTGCTCCTGCAGCTTCTTGCTTCCTGCCTATTGCCATTTCTATTTTCAAAGAAGATATTTTGATATGAGTTGTGCCTAACTCTATTTATTTACAAAATCTGAATATCAATTTCGATACTGAGGATCTGGCACCAATGTTGGGGGTGACTAATTTGCACGATTGGCTGCAAGCTCAAAGAAATACAAGCACAGTTTTCATATCTAAAAAGACAAAGATTTCTCTGCRAGGAGAAGAAAATGATATAGAGAAAAAGAATAAAGAAGGAATTAATATTTACTTTTTGTTTTAATGTAAGAATGAGGATACATTCAAATAAATGGCTAATAGTTATTTAAAGCAAGCAAACCAAAACATAAACAACAATAACTTCTTCCCTTAACATATGCATTAGTTGTAGGACTTGACATTGCAGGATATTTCGAAGACCAAAAGTTTGAGCTGATTCAGAGAAACGTTAGATGAATTTATGAATTTTTAGTCCATAGGATTCTACTGGAAACAGCATTATTTTTGTCCAAATGCCTCATCATAAAATCTTTCAGATGTGGATTGTTGGAAGCTGGAATGTTTTACAAGGAAAAGATAATGTTATATTTTTTTTCAGAGCATCTGCTGCTTTATTCAGTACTGGAGTGGGATGTCAGTGGGATGTACTCATTACATCYTCTTTAAATGACCAAATATAGTATTGCCAAATATCGTATTATTGTGTATTGCATCATTTATAATTTTGAAAATGGTTTCATATGAAACTAATGGTTCACTGGATAGCTTTTTTTAGAAGAACTGCTCGTGTTTGCTGTGCGGAAGTGTTACCAAGTCTAGTGAGACCTCTAGTGATCTTATGTGTAACTGCTGGTTACAGTCAAATATTGCTGGAGTTACCAGAGATATGAAGTAGCTTCCTGTACAGGCATATTTAGGATTTGAGGGAAGGGGAAAAAAAAAAAAAACACTCACAAAAAAGAACTAAACCGGTGCACAGAATGGCACAGACTGTATCATGAGACACCTTTTCAGGGTTCCACTAAATACAATAGTAGCCCGTGATACTTATCTGAAGTCAAAGTAAAAAACTGTTTGTTACAGTAGTTAATACTAGAGTACTGGTGCTRTATTTAACTGCTTTGTTTCAATATACGGAAGGTAATAGCTGACTAAAATTAAGTTATTTATGTTTAAATTTTGATTCAAAATATTTTTCAACTATTCTAGCTATATGTTTAAAATTAAGCTTTCAATTTAGTAGTCTATCTTAACTGTAATTATAGACTGTAAGTTAACTGTTAACTTACAGTCTATAATTTAGATTTTTACAGTCTTTACATTGTTATTAAAGTAAGTCCCATATACAGAACTAAATTCATTATATATAAGCCACATGTCAGCTATTGTAGCTACGTAGTATTTTCTGTAAATTTTGGAAAGATTTTGAGGAACAACTATATCTATAGATAGTAGAATAGACAGAGTATATAACATATATATATAATAGAATCTATAAAAAGTGAAAAATCCCATAGCTGTTTCATATAATAATTTAATAATATTAAGTACAAATACATAACTTCTGTATAGAAGCTATTCCTATAGATCACTACTATACTTTATCARAGATTCTATACCAGCATATTTCAAGTCACACTGGTCTCTAAAAGTCATAAAGAGAATTTAGCTCTTACATCTATTAAGATATGGCAAGAAGAAGGGAAGGAGATGGCTTATATTCTAAGTATATGATCCTGCTTCACCAAAAGACTTTACTTGTTTCTAGTATTCTGATTTAATTTCAAATGATTAGTAATAAATTAACTATGACAGCAATAAAKCTTGATACAATGTATTTATCAATTAGTGTTTGAACATAGCCCTTTAAAACAGTTTTTTTAGTGTTCTACTTAGGTTTTTCAAATAGAAATGCACTAAATTTATACTAATTCAGCATCTGCCCTRTACCTGTTGTAGCACTGAGTAATTTATAATCTGTACAGAAGACATAACGATACTTAATGTTTTAAAATTTAAATCAAAATTTAAATCAAAATCTTTGTTTTAAAAACGTATAGTGTGTAAAAAAATAATTCTGTGTTTTTGTTTTTTTTTTCCCTCAGAATCTCAGATAGAAATGATGATGATAAAATAAATAAGTACCMAACTCTGGATAATAAGCAAAACAACAGGTATGAGTTTTAAAAGCTTTCTTACACTCCAAATATCATATTTTACTTTTAATTGTATGCATAATCCAAGATGACATAGGGAAATAATGTATGTGTTTTATGGTTTAATAGTTGGCTTCATTTCGCTATCTGACATCTGGAATGCAGGTGTCTATGCCAGAGTTGTCATAAACTCTTTTTACAGACCATGGAAAGGGGGAAAAAAATAATTTAGAGCACAATTCATCCGATGCCTTTCAAATCAGGATACAGGACTTGTGCTTTAAAAATGCCCATTTCTACACATAGRTTGAAAGAAAGACTTGCTTAAATTTGCCCAGCTAACCATCATAATAATTATTTAAGAAATTTTATATTTTAAAATCAGGAAAGAAAGAATAAGTATATTTTGAAAACATATTTCAGTGCAGGTATGTTCCCAGAAAAAGTGGGGAGCAAAAGTTTTAAACCCGCCCCCCCCCACCAACAAGAATAAAAACCTCTCTTTTTTTGGTAGGTAAGAAGGAAAACTGTTATTTTCCAAGGGAAAACAATCAGAAAACACATGGTTTAACTGAAAGATTTTTATTTTGTCAGAAGCTCAGTTTTTAATACAAAATATGTTCAAGCCAATTTGTCATTTAAAACAAGTTGATACAAAATATTTGACATATAAATTTTCATTATGATTTGGAGGTGACCAGATTAGAAACATRAAATGACCAAACAATACTAAAATTTACTTTCTAAAGAACTTACAGGTCTTAACTTATTGAAATTTTTATTTAAAAATATTATTTAAAAACTCAGAAATCTGAAGATTACAGCATCATATTTATAAACATAATGAGATGAATGTATCCCCATGTGTCTTCATCAGTGTCAATACGTTTCCATCAGTAATAAGATGTGTTCAATATAGTTGCCAGGGAACTAACAATAGYAATTAAAAATCACCACATAAAGTACGATGTTTTTGCTCTAAAAGCCAAAAAGAGTGACTCTGGTGTTTGGAGTGTAAAGGAGGTGATTCTTGTGAATAATAATTTTGCACCATTATATTATAAATCATGGTGATGATGGCACATGAATCATCATATAGATTTGCATTTGTGCTTTGTTCAGAGACAATTTTTCAGTAGACCAACTGTGAATTTTGGAGCAGGATGTATGTGAGATCTAATTGATACATAATTTATTCTGCCAGAGAGAAATGAAATAATTTGTAAAGTTCTGTTCTTCAGTTACATTAGAAAAGTAAGGGACAGGACAATAACTTTATSATAAACTTGATGGGAGAAATAACTGACTTGGAAAGTACATAGTTAGGAGTATGAGGAATATTACATTCTTTTGCATACACACAATAAAACAGACCAGCATTGATAAATTAAATAAGAAACATAATTTAATGCATGAAAAATATATTAATATWTTAGAGTGGAGTGTAGATACAGAAATCAAGAATTTCAGAAGTCAATAATGACTTTGAATATCAAGTAAGGACACATTATCTTCTAAGCATAAGAATCCCTTAAGATGTCTCAAATCTGATATCCTTGACACATATAACCATAATTATACCAAGTACTGTATGTCTTTGTGATAGTAGATATCGTTTCTTAGTCTTGTTTTCCCATTTCACTTATTTAAGATGAGTGGAGTATTAGTGGAGTGTTGAGTGTAGTTCTGGGCTCCGCAGTACAAGAGGGATGTGGAACTTCTGGAAATAGTCCAGTGCAGAGTGACAAAGTTGATTACGGGACTGGAGCATCTCTCGTATGAGGAAAGACAAAGTGAGTTGGGCCTGTTTAGTCTAGGAAAGAGTCAGAATCAGTGTGTATAAATACCTGAACGGCGACTGTAGGGAGGAAGGGGCCAAGCTCTTCTCAGTGGTGGCCACTGACAGGACAAGGTGTAATGCATGCAAGTTGCAACACAGGCAGTTCCAGCTGTGTGTGAGGAAGAACTTCTTCCCTATGAGAGTGCCAGAGCCCTGGCACAGGCTGCCCAGGGAGACTGTGGAGTCTCCTTCTCTGGAGATCTTCCCAACCCACCTGGATGCCGCATGCTGTGCTCCATGCTCCAGGTGTCCCTGCTGGAGCAGGGGTGTTGGATCCCAACCTGTGTAAGGGATATCTCTGTTCTGTGATACGGTGAAGGTGAATTAATACATATACTGTATTTCCTTTACAGGCAATCTTGGACTCCTACCACACCAACCACAAACACTGCTGCTACTTCTCCGATCAAGAAAAAAAGGTATTCACTGCCACCTTTGGGTGACCGCCAGAGGACAGGGAGCACTCTGTTACACCGCAGTAATGTCTCACGATTATATCAAAAAGCAATATTGATTTTTCCCTCTAGCAGGGTTTAGCTCTTCAGCAAATTTAAATAACCTTTTGCATGCTCTGGCTTTTCTCCGTGGGAGCAGCATGGTGCAAAATGGTCTTGGTACAGTCAGTCCACAAGCTCCGTGGACCCAGTTCAATAGATGCAAGTTCTCTGCCCCAGTCCCTAACTCAGCAAGCGTGTGCCTTTTTAGTGTCTGGTACCAAATTTAAAGCAATGCAGCTCATTTTATTGAGGGCAAGTTGAACTTTCTCAAGCCAAAATTGTGTCTCTACTATTTCAGTACAAGTGAACCGCAGTATGCATTATATCTAGCTTTAAAATTTTGGATTGTATATAATATTATGTGGGCAAGAGAAAAACTGGCTGTAGCATGGAGAACTGCATTTCAAATTTAAAATGCACTGCTGGGGATTTCCATCTTTTTTTATGCAGCCTTTCCAGGAGCAACTTCTACATTCTTTCCGTAGAATTATAAAAAATAATAGAAATTAAAATGTCATCATTCTCATATTAAACTCAATGCTTGTTTGTGGGAGTTTATGAGGTTTTCAGCTCAGTAATTGTCTTCAGGCATTTGAAGATGTGAATGGCCAAAACTGAATTCACTGTTTATAGTGCAAGCGCTTTTTTCCCCAGTAGACAATCGGTAGATTGATTCTTCTGGAGGAGGTTTTTAGTTTTTTAAATAACGAAAGTGCATGTGATGTATATGTGACCTCTAATACCATCCTGAATTTGTTTCTAGAGTTGATGTTTGTCATCCTTTCATTTGTACATTCTCTCTGACTGTCCCTCCCAAGAATAATACACATTTGTTTCGTTCAGGTTGCACAAAGCACCATCTTAGGTCAGACAATGTATTTCTCACAACAGTAATTAAATTTACCATGTTGCTTCCAAATCCATTCAGCTATCTTAAAAAAATATATTCTTAAAAGTGTTGTTATAAAGTATTTCAAAATACTAATAATTTTGGAAGTGCTATGAACACTTATAAAAGACGATTTTAGTGTTTCTAACAAAATGTTTGAAGAGATTCAACCTGTTGTCCACCCCTATAACATTACATACTCATACACAGGAATTTATTTTTTAACACTGACAGGCAATCTTGGCTGCCTCCACCAGTTTCAAGTTCGAAGACCACCAAAGATACAACGGAAACCAAAGAGTAAGTGCTAATGATGGCTAGTTTATTTTTGTTGTTATGTGTTTTTGTTTGTTGCTATGTGTTTTTTTTTATTTTAGGTAATTCTAACTTTGAGCTGATTTCAACTGTGAGCAAATAGATCAGTTTTTATATTTCTCAGTTTTTTGAGGATCTGACTTTGCTGGGTAAGATTGCATAGGAAGAGAGAGTGTTTCATGCCTAAGTACTGGTTGGGCTTGAATCCCAGCATTGATTGGAGTTTGAGTTTGAGAGGTGCTCACAGTCTGAGATTACATCAGTGCTGCCAGAACTAAAGAACCCAAGAGACTGAACTAAGGTGTTGAATTCCTGGTTTTCTACAATGCATATTAGCTTTGTTCTTGGAGCAGTTCAAATCAATAACATTTAACTCTCTACCAGACCAATCCGCTATAGAAAGGCTAAGCGTAAGTGCACAGAAATCTATTGCTCCTACTTGACACAAGAGCCAGGAGTTAACTCTGCCTTATTTTAGTTACTGGTGTGGACACAACCTCAAAATCTGTATGAGACTCATATTAGAGGCTGCATATCAAAGATTTTAATTAGACAAAACATAAATGAATGGATATAATGTCTTCCAGGTAGGATACTTTGGTTGCTCATGGCCTAGGAGATCTTTATCACTGGGGGACTTTAAGAATACAGTAGATCAATGTTAAACAGTATTGATTTTTGCCTTGAGATAGGAGATTGGTCTAGATGAGAGCCTTTGACCCCACTTTCTACACTATCAAGTTATCAGGTCATCTACATTATCAAGTTAAGAGATGTCATATTGTATTACTTCCATGGGACTCTTATTTTCTCCATTTCACATCTTTCATTTGCCCTTGCTCTTCTTTTCCCTTCCATTCTACTTTCTTTTCATTATCCCTACAAAGCCAGTTAGTCTTTTTTTTTTTTTTTTTTTTGAAACCTTTCTATCTTTCTCTTTAGCTGAATACTGCTAAAAGGAGAAAGTTATTACTCTCAGTTTGTACTTAAAGCTGAGTCTTTAGCTAAAGGTTCTACAGAAGAATGTATCAGGCCTTAATTACATGTTTTTCTGAAAAATTCTAATAGGCTATTTTTAATAGTTTATGCCTTTGCATATATTATTAATATATATTATATATAATAATATATAATTATATATGGAGCAGTTAAGGAATTACTCATAGATGTCTGAATATATTAACCCACCAAAATATAGCAAAATTGTTGAGCTATCCAATAATAAAGGCAAGTCAGGAATAACATCAAAGAGTGTCTTCACATCTGGACTGAATTGGGTCACAGAGGAACTGTCRTGCTCTCCCCATACACATGGATCTTTCTGTCTCTCTAACAAAACTTTGATTTTATAGATAATTAAGGGAGTTTAACAGTAACTCCCCTAACCATAACAAGCAGTTTGAAAGCTTTTATAAACTTGACACAATGTGTAGTCTTGAAACAATTTTTTCAAATATGCTAAGAATTGAAATAAATCATCATCCTGGCCGTAGACAACCTGTACAAATTCAGTTGATTTGGTTTTGATTTCGCTAAGTTGTTCAAGGGAATAAAGAAATAAATTTTTAATGTAATTATAAATGTACTCTTTTGCTGACTTTGGCATTTCCATCATTCTTCTCAACCTTTTCATACTTTATTCTAGATATAAAATGCATATTATTTTTCTTTTGCAGAGAGCTATTTGCAAAGAAAACTATCTGTGTTTTATACAGCCCATCTTGGGTCACAAGTTTGATCACGATTTATTTATTTGCGATTTTGTGTAGAAGCATTTTTCCTATATACTGTAATTTCCCTCCAACCATTCTACTTACTGTAGAATACAAATATATCCTTATAATACTTCATATTATAGGCTTCAAGGCAAATGCAGAACAAGAAGAGGAGCACTGTAATTATAGACATAAATTGTGACAATTTTCCTAGTGAACATGTGGGAGACCAGCAGAGACCTGAGAGTCTGTGATGCTGGCATTGTTTTATTGCTTCTCTCATCCAGAGCACCACGTGTGCCTTCCATCTCCATCACTCATGATGATGTGCTGAATATGCCCTTTCACTGCCAAGCTTAACATCTGTTTTGCTTGGCTCTATCCACTGCCCTCTCCACTGCATCTCRCGGTGATAGTACCATGGTGCTTCAYGACAGAAACAACCAGGTTATGTCCCCTTTTTCCTTTTACAGAGAAAAGYACATAATTATGACCTTAATGTGTTGCAGTGTACATCAGAACAAGAAAAGGCAAGCTGCTTATGGCATTTTTAAGGGAARTTCTATCTGTGCCTGCCTGAGCTACTGCCTTAGCTTTCTGCCACTGGCCTTTTTGCTTTGGCTCAAGCTTAGTGAGAACACTTCAGCTGTTTACAGGTGGAATAAGAGCAAAATCACTCTAATTCAATGGCTACTACTATTAAGTTTTTATATTCTTTTACCACAATAAATTTTAATTCTTAGAGGCTGTGGGTATTTTTTTTTAGCTATGTACAATGACTTGCTACATCTGTAGTTTAATGAGTATATAATGTGACTAGCCTTGAGCCAAATAAAATCAAAAAACATGGTTAGCAATAATTTTTATTCCTAGCTTATGTTTATTACTGTCCATCTGTTTGGTGAAGATTCAGAATCACTCAGCACCCAAGAGAAAGATAGCTTTTGGCTACTGGAATTTTATTTTAAGTCAGTGTTTACTATTTTTATTTATTTTTTCTCAATATATATATTGACTGCGATGAATTTCTCTAGTTTCATTTCAGTATCACGTTATAGGCATGATAATTCTGAAAGCATAGGCTGCATCCACTATATGATGCCTTCCCAGTGCTGACAAGATGCTAGGATTCTCATCATTAAATGTCAGATCACTCCCATACACTGATAGAGTTGGGATAATAGAAGTAGAGGCATAATTTTACTAATCTTTCCTGACCCTTGCCTTTCTTGTATCATCTATCAAGTATGATGTCACCAAGAGTGCTTAAACAATGATGAGTTTTTAATGATTAATTTGTTTATCCTTGAAAAGTGCTTTGAAGATGTAAGAGCTATTTGAAACTCCAAACATTGCTATAAATCATAATCACCACCAAAGGATACACTTTTATTTGCCTGAAGTGAGTTTCAGGAAATAAAGTGCCAACTATAGATGCTAATAACCATCGTTTGAAAAGGTCACCATCAGTCTTAAAGACAGCTAAAGCAAAGAGCCATGTCTTTTCCTCATATATAAGAGCAGCTGTTTATCCTCCTGTCCTCAGAAAGGSAATTGTATAAGCATGGATCATCTGCTGAGAAAGGTTTTTCATTTTTGCCCCTCTGGATTTATTTTGTTTTATTTATTTTTGACTCTGACCTTTATTTATTTTTGACCTGATTCTAGGATGCTGTGTTCCAACTTGATGAACTTTTATGGGGCCTTGTCTCAGATCCATGCAGATTAAGCATATTTTACCAGAAACCTGAAAGAATTTGCAATTAAAGCTAAGAATATAGACAGCTGACTGTAGTTGTCCTTTTTGGTTTTAAATTGAATGTCAAACATGTCATTGATCAGAGTGTTTTACTGGAGAACGGTCAACCGAAGAACATTGTCTTAGTGACATATAAAGAATGAGATTAGAAATAAATATTATGTTGTTTTGGTAAAAAAATAATCACTTGTAGCTGTATTAAGCAGCAAAACCCTTTATTAAGCTTTGTCATGGAAGCAAGGAAAAGAAAAATTAATTGCAAAGTGATTTGATTCTCTTTTCTACTTTGTTTCTGAAAAGTTTACTCTCTTCTCTCTACAGGATCTCCTCTTCAGAAAATTCAGAAGCTCCCACAGTGTATGTTTTGCTTACTTGGCTTCATAATTGTTTTAGAAATACAATATACTCCATGCATAAACCTTGAATGTGCTTTAACATTTATTTATAATACAAAAGCTGTAGAATTTATCTGGCAGATCTACTTGAAGAGTCAATCTGAGATTGTAGATGTAATTATTTTCATATATTTTAGCAAGTTTCATTGTATATTTATTCACATGGGGTGGAAAAAAGGAAGAACTGTAACTCCTTGAAGTATTAAGAAGTATTTCATAATTTTAATTTTATTTTTATATAGTATAATGCTAATGCAAATTTTCCTTTATACCAAACTGGTATTCTAGAGGGCACACAGTGAATGAAAAAGAGAGTAGGTAAGCAAAAGAAAGAAAAACTCATAAATTAAAGAGCTGAGCACATGCAAAGGCTTGTAACAGGAGGCATAAACATGAACTGAATTAATATAAGTTACTGCAAAACTGATTTGAGTGTCCATGTGAAAGAGTGCTCTAATTTAAGAAATAAGTTTATGAACTTAATTAATTTAATGTAAATTTCAACTTCTAAATTAGAAAAAGATTGCTTAACCTACCTTTAATTTCATGACTTATGGTTGAGAGAGCTGCCAAACTTGTCATGATATTATTGCCATCCTCACAGGAAGATGATCTCAAAGAGTATATGCTCATTTGCGGTTCTATTAGCCTTTCCTACCTTCTTCTTTCTTTCCCTTTTTCTCCTCTCTTCTCCCTTTCTCATAATTTAAAAATATTTTCTGGTAGTGACAGACCTGTTCATATGTGCATATGAATAATCAATAATAGGAAAGAGTTTGACAGATTTCAGCTGTCATTTAATAGGATGCAGMTAAGGGATGCAGAACAGTGTGAGCAACTCGTAATTTGCCTCTGAGTGGAAAGTAACCCCCCAAATGGTTCTTGTGTCTGTGGTSTCTGTCACATTCTTATAATCTCTAACAACTGCCACATAAAAATTGCTTCTCAAAAACTTTTGCACGTAACTCTAAATAGTTATATTGATCTCTGTGGGGACATCTATAGGAATAAAATGGTTTGAAAATGTAAATGCTATGCAAGTATAAGAGTATATCGAAAGAATGGCACATTCTTTTAAATATATAAATATTAAATGTATTAAATATATGTGTATTTAAAATAAATRCACGTTTATTATAGTCATTGTGACTAAGAGTAGTACAGTATATAAAAAGTTCTTTCTTGAACAGAGATGATATCTCTTTTTTTTTTTCTTTTTTATTTCCCCTGGGTTCATATTCTCCCTCTTTTAATCACTCTCTCTAGATACTCCGACTATGTCTCCACGTCCTGCCCTGTGGCAATGCCTTTGGTTCTCCCTTTCCCCGCTTGCAGCATTCTACTGCACTGCTCTCCAGTCTGTGCCATCTCCTAAGCCTTCAGACTTCCTCCAGTTTCTGATCCCTCACTACAATCTTTAAATAACCCTTAGAATATCTTCATCTCCTCTCTCTCTTTTCTGGATTACTGCCTGAGCAAGAAGCAGCACGTATTGTGGCTGCACAGAGCAATGTGCAGCTCTATCCATGTGCAGCTGGYTGGTAGAAACCTGTTAACTGGCCAGGAGTTGTGCCAGGAAAGAGCTGAGCTTATTGTGAAATGCCAGGTTTAAGTCTCTTCCCTCTGTCAGGCTGCTGATTTTCATGCAAGTTCTGGATGTTAATATCCTGAAGGTGTCTAATCCTCTCGCTTGCTATTAGGTGGTGGATTAAAAATAGTAACTGCAGGAGACTGACAAATATATGTCAGACAGAMAAAAGCGTGTGCAATCTCATTTCCTTAGGAAACCAGGACAAAAAAAATTATCTATTTTTCCGCCTGTTCATACAGTATCCTTTATGAGAGACAATCACATCTATTCTTTGGAGTTTAATTTTATTTATTTTTGTTAGTCTGTTATTACTGGAATTATCTGAAACGTAGAAGTCCACTTTATTATTATGCCAATACTAGTAAAACAGCCTTGGAGGAAAAAAAGTATTGGAATATCACCTATTCAAAAAGCTCAATGGATGCACTTATCTAGTACGTTGAAACATTATGGACATACACATTTAGATATGCAAAAAGAAAAAAAGCAAAAAATTTCTGAAAATAATCCTAATTCGGTGTGGTTACATTTGCTAGAATAGGATAAAAAACAAGAATAATAATCCCTCTAAATATTTGTCTGCATATTAAGCATGGTTTCATCATTTTCTTGCAGGGCTGCCCCTTCACCAGAACAGGTGACATCTCATAAATCTATCAGAAAGACGGACACAGATGATCAAGCTGTAACAAGGTAACATAAGCAGACACAACTGTATGGTTAAATGTGGAAGTACTAGATTTATTTGATTTTCGTATAGCTCTTTTGGCCACAGTATTAGGCAAGTGCAGGTTTTATCTCGTCCTGCCTACTGACCTAGAAGAACAAATTTTGAGTTCCGTTGGCTTCCTGAGTTATCTTAGTTATTTTTCGGCTTCTTTTTTTGTTATTGTTCTTTTTTTTCCCTTTCCCTGTGTCTAGAATGCATCCTGCCAAGCAGTGTATAGGTGCTTGCTGCAAATGAATGAAAGCAGACTAAGAGCAGTAGTATGAACTATACAACATACTTTGTGCTTCAGTATCACAGTAAAGAAATTGTGGGAAAGGAAAGATCAACACATCCCTACATATATATAAAACGTCCCTTTCAGTGACAATACTGTTACCATTCAAAATAAGAAAAAAATACACCATTTCATGTAGCAAAATTAGTGCGTTTAAACAGATGGGCTTCTTGTGGTGCGAGTTAGATAGCATATGGAATTTGTACCTTGGAAAGTGTACAGAATTCCATGAAATTGGTGAGAAGTGCCATAGAAATAGCAATTATTGAAGTTCCAGCAAGTGGTAAGGCCTTACACTTAGGGAAATGGTAAGTCTTTCAAAACAACTTGTAATATCTGTGCAAAAAAATGCAACCATGTGATCCTGACCAAAGTAAGGTCACAGAATATGCAATCAAAAAATGTATGAATTAGATGAATCTAGATATGCACTGAGAATTACAGTAGTTTATTTTTAATTGGAAATTCTGAAAGGTGTAAATTATTAAAATCAAGTTATATTAGCTAATTTTATTTCACTTGATTCACAAAGACAGAATTTTCTAAGGTTTGGAGCCACAGTTTGTCCTACTTGGAGGGTACTACTTTGGGTCCCTCTTCCCCCCCAAATAATAAATACATCCAAAAGAAATCCGACAGTGTAATCCCTAGGGGGAAAAAAAAAGCAATGCTTCAGTGAAATATTTTCCTGTCAGCAAATTTGGSAGATCTTAGGGAATTAAATGCAGCAGTATATTAACTAGGGAAGTGGCAGTCATTCTTCGTTCATAAAGGCTTGTTAAAGACTTATTTAATCCCCATCTTCAATCAGTTCACATTCATCATCCCCCAGTGGCTCTCATTAGCACATCAAGCTCTGTGTACCAGTTCCTCCATTGACAGAGAGCTGTGGCAATGCTATTTGACTGGTCTACAAGTTACTATGGCAACATTGCAGTAGTTATTTATGTCAGTATGTAAGCTATAAGTAGCCTGTAATTTTAGTGGGCAAAATTCAGCCCTTTACTCTTGCTGATTCCTTTACTTTTGGCTCAGATGCCATCYATCTGCTACTGAGGTGCTAGCTGCAGAAGTTTACAAATTTTGCTAAACTTATACTAACCAAAAATGCATTAAGCAGCTGTCATCAGAAATAACTCACTTATGTTAAAGAAACTCCATATAAATATTATATTCCTGGCAAGAATGATGGTGACTCACAATCAAAGCTAAGGGTTACATGAAAAATATTTTTAGTAACACTGCCATTAGTTAGGGCAAAAGTTATGTGAAATGGTTTAATTTTATGTACTTTTATTTGGAAATAAAAAATTTTCAAGTTATGCTTTTTAAAGCCACGTTTACTTGATTATTTGTATCCTGGCGAGCATGTTAACGTTGGAGTGAATTAATTCCACCATAAAATAGATGGAATATGGCAACTGTTTTTCTATGAAACTGTTCAGTAATACAAGGAAAGTCTTTTTGAAGGAATGTACCTGAAAGGAATGTCAAATATTGTATTTCTTTTGGGTAAAGAAAATGTAAGCCTCACTGTGCACTGTTCCATGCAAGGCCCACTTCTATTAATGCAAAGGACAATTCTTGCATTGTTTTCAGATAGAACACTTAGATGTGGTTTCTTCCATATCTGGAAAAAATATACATCCATGTATTCTATAAATCTATACAGAATATGTTATGTATATATATACATTATATATATAAAATATTATATACTATATATCATATATTATATGATACAAAGGCAGATTGACCATATGAACCTTCAGCTTGATGGCAAGTTGATGGATGGCTCTATCTCAYGACTATTTAAATCATCTGTATGTATCCTTGTGAAACATAAATAGGTCTAGGGGCTAGTGAAAGTGAAGATAGTAACTGTCTAATAATAGTTGTGCATTATTCAGAGCTGAAAAGCTGATTTTCAAATCCTTGGTATCTTGCATATGTGGCAACATGCGAACGCTTCAGTGCATGTGTGCAATTGCACATATGTGCAGTGAGCATCTTCATGCTTTGCACTGTGCATACTCATGAGGTGCTTTTTGTGTTTTACTTGCATTTCAGTGGAGATTCAGGGAGAATATTTCTCACTCTGCCTTTTTAATTATAGAACTGTAGCTACTATAATTAGCTAATTAACTATGTATTCTGGTGCCTTTTTCACTGTAATATCTTCCTGATCTACTTTCACTTTTTATAGATTATATAATGATTCAGAAAACCTCTAGAATGTTCTGGAAGGAYCCTCATGTAACCACAAAAGTGTTGGTGAGGGAAAAAAAAAAGATACTAAAACGGGACTGACGCAGGCATAGCCATACCTTAATGGTCCCAATTGGAGCCATATCTGGCTTTGCCTATAGTGACTATTTAACTTGGTTGGGAGAAGTAGCTTAAGATTTTCTGGATATTTTTTTTCCTTGGTGGAAGGCAAGAATACTGTTTTACTTCTTAGTGTTAGTGACCATTTACCATGCAGTTTTGACAGATTTAGCTCTCAGTGGAGGGCTGGTTTACAGCTCTTCTGCATGTTGATATAAATGACTTAAAGTTGAAGAGCTTATTTATAGAGATGTAAGCCCATTATTGCAAACTGAAAAGTAAAGACAGTATTTACAGGGTGATACATATTCTCCAAGTAAAACTGAATAAGTGCTCGTTCTTTCTTCAGTGATCTTTCCCAGTCGACCTACTGCAAATCATTCTGAGCAAAAGCTTCTTGCCCTGTGTTTAACTCTGAAATCCTCCAGGCTGAGCATTGCCTGTGGTTTTGGCAGAGTATAAATTAATTTTCACAGCTGATTGCAGAGCACTTCTGTTCTCTCATCCTTGGCTCTTATGGATGAAAGGTCTAAATTAGACTTTTGGCACTGGTAAGTGGAGCACACTGGTGTGGAAGGAAATGCACTCTGCCTAAGAATAAATGCCACTCTGCTCTCAAAGAACTTTATTCTTTCTCATTTATACATGTCAAAGTCTGATATTTCTATTGTCAGTTGTTTCTGTAACTTTAAACTGTCCTTTTTTTCTGTGCTGCCATTACTAGGTCAGGAATGTCCTATGGTTTTAGCTCGACTACATTAGTGTGGTCTTTGCATCTTCTGTCCCATCAGAGGACAAAACTATTCATCGGAATGTTTTGTAGGAGGTGAATAGGGAAAAATCACTTGGAAAAGACAACAGATGATACTTGCTTGGTATTACTTTTAGAAAAGTCAGTGCTGAGGGTAAGGTTAGAATCTGCTTGATGATTATGCGCGGATTACTAATTTTGTCCAGAACTGATATCCAGATGAATTCATATTCCTCCTTGCTCAGGTTGTCTTGCCATCACTTGTAATAATTCAGCAGAGATGCTACCAAAGAGGTATCACCCACAGATCTTGAAGCAGAATGGTATTTAATGAAATTTTTGGGTAGCTGTTTTCTCTGCCATAGTCAACAGTCAACAGGGTGGTATCAATAGTGATGGTGACAAGATACAGCCTTGATGAAATCCCCATGAATTCATASGATGTCATACAATGCAGCTACCCTTAACTTGAATGCAACCTTTTATAGAGCTCAAGCCCTATGCACTTCTTCTACCAGCAGCATTATCTTCCTATAACTAAGGGATCACTTCAGCAGCTTCTTTAATTCCGCTCAGGGCTTTGCATCAAAAGAAAAAGATCAAGATMCATAAAAATTGTTGTATATGGCTTATGGAATATAGTGCTCTCTTTACTTTATGATGACAGAATGAGTAGATGTAAAGGCTCCTGGACTATCCTGAGGTTTGGCATAAAGTGTCCCACTGATTAAAGACATTACAACACATCTTCTAAAATTACTGAAGAACTGTGGTCCTTCAGTTCTGGTCCAGAAACACACCTACAGTGTTGGTGACTTTGGCATGTGCACAGCACACCTATCAGCCCAAAGCGATGGTGAAGTCCTGGGTAATGAAGCAAAAATGCCTGCAGAAATTAGGGAAATCTGGAACTCCATTGGCCTTAGCAAGTCTTCTATAATTTAAGTAACAGCCAAGATTATCTGGGTGTTGCTTCCCTCATAATCACCTGCCTTCTCTCAAGAGTCTAAGGAAAAAGTCTTGTGATCAGAAAAGCAGAGTTCAAGAGAATGGCTGGGGTCAGTTCAAAATGAATAGGAAGAGACACTTTTGAAGTGTCTCGTCTCATGCTGTTTCCCAGTGTACATGTGACAAATCAACTGCAATTTGGCTCCAGCTGGACAGTTAGAATAATGTGACTGAACTTTTAAAATCTTATTTTTTTTTTCTGATTGTTCTTATAGCTGTATTTAGAATTTGCAAAAATGAATATTAGAAAGATTTCATTGCATTTATCAAACAACTAGTGACTTCTCTATGGTTCAATTTTGTAGGCATTGTTCACATATTTCCTGTTTCTGACATTTAAAGCCTTATCTGGATGTTTTCAAGACAAAAAGATTTATTAGCTGTGCTTGAATGTCTGGATGGACTCCATTTATACTTTCCTTTTTGATGGTGATCTGACTTGTCACCAGTTAAATCAGAATTACAGAACTTCTATTTACTGAAATAGGTGAAACTTACAGATATATCTGACAGAGCAGAAGCAATAGGAATTGTTAGGGTTTTTCTCAAGTGAACAGAGGTTAAAAATCAAATGCAGAATGAAAGTCAAAGCAAAATGTCCACAGCTCTGTTTCACTAAGCTATTAAACACAGAATATAAAAGGCAAGTTTTCATGCTTTTGTTTATATTGTACTTTTGATATGATACCTTTAAAGGTTCATAATTTTTTTAAGAGTTTTTTTTGTGTCAAATAAAAAGGGCATTAAATACTTAACATCAATAAAGTGAAATAATCCCAAACAGAATGGTTCTGTAAATGAAGTCTTGCTCCTATTGACTCAGGGTGGAAGATATTAAACTTTCAGAAATTAGCTCATTTCCAGAGAGGCCATCGTGCAAACACTGAGTAATTCTCCTTTCTGTCTGTGTCTGAGAGCCAGAAATGTTCAAGCTGTGGCAGAACAGGATTTTCGAGTTAAACTAAGCTATTAATTTTGCAGGCAGCCTGCCTTGACAGCTTCTTCAGAGCTACTTTATTTATCTTCTCTGCTAGTCATTTCTTTTGCTGGACTGTCTTCATTAGTAGTCACATTTCTAATCTTGCTTTACGCAAGAAGCCAGAGGCTAAATAGTAGAGAGGAGCATGAGAACCCATGGTTTATAGCGTGCAATCCACAATGGGGTAATAATAGAATGTAATATTATATGTTATTTATATTTATATAAATGGGCATAAGATTTTCTGCCTGTCAAAACAGGAATTTATTTTAGATTCGTGGTGTAATTTTAAGTGTTATTCTGGGATGGGATGTTGAGGTAGAAACAGACTTTTTGATTCGGTGTGGTCACTTAAAAAAAATACTTCCAACCTCAACTATTCTGTGATTATGTAAAATTGGCTTTTATACAAGAACATTGCTGGATAAAGATGTAAGACAATACTTTTATTTTATAGGAAATTATAGCAAAAAGAAATTGGGATGTACTGGGTTTAAACAGATTCTTTTGCCCAAATTGTGATATGGAAACCTGTGTTCAGTTATTCATTTTGTGTTATTCTGTTAGTTTAATTTCCTTTATCTATATGTATATACACAGCAAATAACAGCAACAACAACAAAATATATTTGTTGTCATGAGTTAGGTACTTCTAAAACTTCCAGTCATGCCCTGCCCTGGGATTGGATTAAAATATTTCATCTTCTTGAATCTGCTATCAAACAATATAACCTCTCATGGCAGGCTCTTTGACCTRCCTTATTCCCATCCATTTCTAAAAATTCTCCCTCCAGGCACAGTGACCCTTGTGGTGTAATGGTTGTCTCTGAAAAGAGTATATTTGGAGCTGGTGTCCCTCTGAATGACCTGTGAGAAAGGCCAGCATCTATTACACAACCCCCATCCATATGTGAAAGATATTTCCACAAGTTAGCTTAAGTTCCTTTGCATATTCCCAGATGTTTTAATGTTGCTTTTTATTTTCCATCATTTATATTGTGAGAGGGAAGGAGAAAAAAAAAAAAAAGAAAAGGAATGTTTTCAAGTTTAAAGAAATTGATTTTCCCAGCCTTGGGCACTAAAATATTTTTCMAAAAAAGAGCAAGGCAACAAAAAGACTTTTCTTCATTATCTCTGCACTCTAATATTAAGGATAAGTATTCTTTAACTATGAATGCATATTGAGTCTCCTCCCTTTTAGTACTTGACTTCTYTTGTAGAAATATTGGAAAAGGTTTGAAATATATTGCTCCTTTCTAGCACATAACTCTCAAATGGAGCCTAAGCTGAGATTCTATATTCAAGCTATGCTGTACATCTAGTCCTGATGTACATCCACCAAGTCCTGTGGTTTGGGCAACTTCATGTTATATCCTCCTAGAAATAACAGCTCTCAGGTTTTTCATTGCTTRTACTCTTTGCTGGGCTTGACTCAGGAGCTGCATGGCTTGTAAGCTCTCCCTTGAACTAGCCCAATGCTTCATGCAAGTGTCAGCCCTGGTTCCTTGCTCTAGTCCTGTCAAGCACATGTTTAATGAGGGTGGAAGTTAGAGGAGTGCTGCAAGTGCAGCCAATTAATATCTCCTGAGGGTTATATTTTACAGGAGAAGTGGTGCTCCTTCGGAGCCATAAAGTAGAGCTGAGCAGGTCAATGAGTCAGAAAAGCAACTCAGCATGTAGTTTTATACCGAAAGCTGCAGCTGCAACTGTTTCTTGTTCACTTATTAGGGCTGCTTACTGTCAGGGTCCTATAAATCAGGCAGCTAGTTGACAGGGCGTGCACTCACAGCCTGGACTTTTATTGCTTTTGTTAGCAACCCTTTGSATGGGAAATAAAGCCTTCCTCACAAGCCAGTCTATGCTCTCTGATACTCAAAGTACTGAAAGCCATGTACACAGAGCAAAAATGCTGCTGGCTGCTAAGTCATGGTGATTTAAAGCCTACAGAATGAGACACGTTTCCCTTGAGCTACACCAGTGTTACTATGGGCCAGTAAACATATTTCTGAAGAAATGATTCTTAAGTCATTGGAAGATGCCAGTCTGTATTTTTGTCCATGATTCCTGATTAGGCAATGGGTAAAGGATAAACTTTTTTAGAGAATTAACCTTCTTTTCCTGGAAATCTCTGTGCAAAAGTGAGCAGAACAATTTAAGCAGAGGCAAAACTGAATTTACCTGGGAAGTGTGTTAAAATACATACGAAGATTTAAAAGGTGAGAGGGAYAAATCCTCCATTTCCTGTCACTTTGATGCAATTTCTTCCTTCCCTATTAAAACACTATCTGCAATAAGAATAAATATTTAACCTTTGAAAAGAATATTTATATTGCTATTTAAATTTCATAGTTGGGCTAAAATGTGCAAAGCAGCAAAAGTAAAATTCAGAGAAAATATTCTTGATCAGGGTACAACCTTATTGAATAAGACTAAACAAAGTCAATTCTAAGTTAGTCTTTTGCATTTTCTCCCTACCTCTGCCTAAGAGATGTTCTCTATTTAAAAAATTAGAGAATTGAATGACACATAGAAAGCACTSTAACTAGTAGAAAATAGAACTTCTCTTAAGGCACAGGTAGAGAAAGACTGAAAACGAAAAGTCAAATTGAAAAAAAAAAATCTAGCCATTCTTACCATAAACAAAAAGTGAATAACTACATGATTTCAGATGTTATTTTAAGATATAGAAGTTTTTTAGTCTAAATAAAGAKCATCATTTGAAATCTAACCATAGACACCAGTATTAAGCTTGGAGCTTGAGTTAATCGTATCCTTCGGAAAATTCATATTTTTCAGTCAATATTTTCAGTTACTAAGAAGCATCTTAAACTATGGTATTGATATGATTAAACAGACAAATTCTTTTCCTTAGCTATACTATATAATGCTTTAATTTTACAGAACTTTACCTTGCTGATAGAAAAATGTGTTTTCTTATAATAGTCAATAACATTGACTATTCAAAGAATCTGCGCATAAACTTATCCAAAAACTCACTGTTTTCCTCTAAAATGTATACATAAATGTATTTTTTATTTTTATTATATTTTATTTTATAACACTCTTTTATTTGGTTATTTTTTCCAGAGGAAAAGACTTTGAGGATGTTACCGAAATAAACACTGCTTCTCAGAAAAATGAAATGTAAGACTGTCATAATCTTCTCCTACAAGGTTTTAAAATACTTGCAGTTTGTTACATCTTAGTATCAACAGGTTCAGTAAAGATAATTAGAAGAATCAAGGTTAATACTTTCGTTTGATTTAAGCCATAGAGTCTTAACTTTTTTTAATCTCCTCCTTAAATAAATACTAGTAAATATAAATAATTTGCTGTGAAGAAAGTGATTCTATTTTACTGAAATTCTAGCTAGTCAGTGCATGACCATCAAAGATCTATAAGGTCATTTGAAATGTCCCATTAAACTAGACCTTCTCCTTTAAATACAAGAGCGGAGTGTCATAAAAATGGTTCATTGAAAAAGAAWCTTCTTTTAWTCTTAGTGTCGTTCTTCAWTTTCAAATKAAACCAGTTTGCCTTTTTTTATCTTAAAAACTTTTCAATAAAAAAGAATATTATTTTTAATTACAGATCTGTTAACATAGATTCAACTTTTTCACAGCCAGTGGGTTTGTTTACTCTTATAAATGCAGCCGTGCTGTTCTAGAGACCGTATAGAGCCCTTGATCCAGTGTGAAGGAACAATCATAAAGAACAAAGCTAAGGTGCTAAAATGTTAACACCCTTCAAGTTCTTCAGCTATTTGCATCAGATTTAACAAAGTAGATTTATAAATTGTGAGAACCAGTTGATGAGTCCAAGGGTGGAGTTAATATTCRGAAGGACCTAGACAGGAGAACTGGGCAGGAGGGCTTAAAAAAATTCAGTAAGGACAAGGGCAAAGTCCTACACCTGGGTAGGGAAGCCCCCCTTGCAGCAATTACCGTCTGGGGTTGATGGGCTGCAGAAAAGACCCTTGGGGCCCTCTGAGACAACAAGCTTACTGTGAGCTCAGGAGGATGAGAGAAAATGGGCCTAGGCTGAAACAGGGCACCCTCAGACGGGGTAAAAGGAGAAAATTTTCCCCATGAGCCAGGCAATGGGCAGTCAGGCAATGGAGCAGGTTGCCCAGAGCCTTTGTGCAGTCTGTGTTCTTAGAAGTCTTCAAGACCCAACTAGACAAAGCCCTGAACAACCTAGTCAGACCTTAAGGCTGCACCTTATTTGAGCAGGAGGCTGGACTAGAGACCTCCTGATATACCTCTCGACTTAAATTATCCTATAACCCCATGAACATATTTGTATATCTTGCTGTTCCTTCTTAATGTTGTGTATTTACGGGAGAACAACTGAAAAATATTGAGGTTTGAACTGATACATATCTTCATAAATAACTAAAAACTTATTATATGAAACAACTGTGATACATATTTAGTGTATGAGGAATCTTCCTTGTGAAATAACATAGAACTTTTTCCATCTTCAACATAAGTAATTCAACCTATTAGAAATGTCTAAATTGAATTATATTATTTGATTAATTTGAGGTATTTCTCACTTTCACAGAGATCAGGACCTTGGTCACCACAATGAAGTAAAGCCTGCTGTTACCCAAAGTAAAAAAAGGTGAGATTTAATTCATAGTTTTTTCTGAGGTTTAAAAACTGTTTAAGTCATAGTTGTTTAGGGTAGTTTCTGGCACTGCTTATTCCCAATACAAACAAACAGAATTTCTATAGCTTGAGTGAGAATTCTCAACTATCTATAAAATATGCAATATAGCTGCATATGCTTTGATAATGATAAGTAATAATTGAAATCTGTAATTTTTAGTGAATGAAAATACCTAGTGAAAAGTAGTGACAAGATCCACACAAGTATTTTTGTGCTTATGCAGTTATTTTGTGAACCTAGACCTTAATATCTCAAAAAAAAAAAAAAAAAAAAAAAAGAGTTACTGCTACTAGGGCTTCTAGTATTTGGAGACACTAGGACCCAACTGATTAGTTAAAGCAAAGCTAGTGTTATGTTTTCAGATGGAATTCAAGTGGTATTTTTGGAGTCTTTCCTTTAGTTGTATATTTAAATGATGAGGAAGAACTTAGCATATTAATTATGTAAATGCTTCTCCTATTTTTAATATAAAGTATTTTAATGCTAGCAATCCTACTCGACAGTCTCCCCAGAGAGGCAAATGCTGCACACGTCCGTGAATGAGCTTGTGTTGGTCCTGAAAGGAGGGCTGCCAGCTTACGACTCCAGCACAATAGTGGGTGCTGCTTCATGCAACACGCCGTGCATATAAAACAGAGACCAGCGCAGAGCAAAGTTCACTTAGYGAAGCTTCAGACCTTGGCAAGCTCACTGAAACAGATCAAACTGCAGGCCAAACATCCAGCTTTAGGGCTTAGAGTCATCAAACTGTTTTGGTGTATAACTCTTGGCAGAACCAAAGAAGAGCAGCCTTTGTTTGAGCTGCTTTGTAATATCATCAAGAAAATCATTAGCACTTATTACTTAAATCCTATAATTTGCCTGACAAGGTTTATTTTTATGTTTGGTAGCATGCCATGTTTATGGCAGAGAAAACTGCAGGAGACAGGATTTCTTCTGCCTGAATCATAAGCCTGTTCTTTGAAATAAAAGCCTGTGTATCTGTTCAGCTGGTCATTTCTAATAAAGCTCTTGCTGCAGTATGCCAGAGGACGGAACAAATTCTCATCTGAAACTAAAATGTACTAAACATGGAGGAAACTAGGGGTTTATTAAAGCTAATTGAAGTTTCTGATACAAATAAAGCTGTCATCATAAACTGGACAGCTTTGCAAGGTTTCTGTGATTATATTACTTTCCACAAGCTAATTTAGCACTGATTCACACTACTAGAAAACAAAAACATCATTTAGTTTTACCTGATGCTACTCACATAAGTTTCCACATTTATGACTAAAGGTATAACCGAAAGCTGCATAGCTGAAAGTGATTTTAAAAGTGTTTGTTTTCTTGTTACTTTCTTAGGGCAACTGGGAAAGTGTATGAAAACGCTCCAAGTACTCCGAATAATCTCCCTACAAGTTATTCTATCAACAACGAAAGAAAATCCAGGTAGTGTTCACAATGAATTGAACCATATTGCCATTTCTTGCAAAAAAAGAATGAGAGAAACCATCATTTGCAAGAAAATTCAGTTCTTTGCCTCTAGCTACACCTTGGCCTTGGCGTGGAAGGGATGTGACAAAACACCGAGTCTTTGGCTTCTCGTTTTCTTATGTTTGCTGCAGAAATTTGGGGTGAGATAGCATGGTTGGGATTCACATACTCTGAAATACCTGCTTGGTCATAAGGGCCAAACCCCTGACCTGTCTGAGGATGCTAAAAGCCAAACAGCATATACTTTTAAGATTCATTATGAGTACTCAGCCACCACAGGGATACACATTAATTAACACTTTGCAGCATTTTGGAGACACACAGATTCTCAGGTGTTCTGATTACAYTTTAAATTTGAAAGAAGAAGATAGCACAAGAAAGGCAAGCGAAAGAAGGTGCCTCAGTGTGTTGAGGTATCTTAAACATGACAAAATATATATCCTCTACCAGAAGCTACAATAGAAACCTATGAAAGCTTATTAAACGAAGTGTATTTGCAGTTCATTCTTTTTTCTTTTTTTTTGTGTGCAATATGTTCTGCAGACTATTTTGCTGTAGAGACAAGTTGCACTATAGTAAAGGAATGGGTAATAGGGACTGAAAGAATGAACTTGGTCACGTAGGGAGATTTCAGGCTGTGACGTTGCTCAGTGTTAACTTACCATCAAGGTGTCACTTATTTGCTACAGTTCTGAGCTTCCTTTGGGTGGGCAAGGCCACTAACTCATGGTTAGAAAATATTTTTGCTGTAGTTTTGTACCTTTTTTTTTCTATAGTACAACTATACTTTTTTTCAAATGCAATTATTCATTTTTGTATGCATTTCATCCATAGTACTTCAGCCAGTTACCCAAATCTYAGGGACACTGGTGTGTACACAAGGACATGTGAGGAAAATGGGTACTGGAGAGATACCTCAAGAATTTTTCCCTATACAGCTTTTTATAYAGCAGTTCTAAAAATACATGCTTGAAATACACAGTGTTATTTTCAGGCATGCTGCACTAGACATTCATGAATATGCCACGCACAATCTCAGTTTTGATTAAATTAGGTTACTTACAATGTCTGCATGTCCCAGGATCAGATTCTGCAGCCAAATACAGTGAGTTAAAGAGAAGATTTGAGAGAAATGAGCTTAGTGACGGAAAGAAGCTCAGAGACTAGTACATTTTAAGTATACAGAGCTCGTACTAGTGTCACTTTTGTTTGCGTTAAGAAACTTTAGGCACTTTGTATGTAATGGCAAACCCTATTAGTGACATATGTTTTGTTAAACAAAGGAAATCAGTAAACTTCTGTTTGCTTTCCTGCTTAGGAAGCTTGCTTTCCTATTGCCTGCAATGTAAATGAAGCACTAGGTGTTCAGCTGAGAGGACCTGCTTCTGTGATAAACAAATGCAGACTTCTTACGTTATTATTAAACAGCAGACATACTGCTACTACATTTTTAAATCATATATAAGCATTATATATGCATATATAAGCATTTAAACTTCTCACTAACTGTGYAGTTTTAATATATTTTTCAGGGAATAGGTAATACAGTCCCCCACAACTGATAACATGTATGATAATATGTGAGGTGGCCCAGATACACCATTCCATATATCTGTCTTTGGTAATAGAAACATCTGATTTCTATGCAACACCAGAAATATATTAAAAGGGTATCTTCTGCAAATACTCATGACTTTATATATATATATATATATATATATATATTTATATATCTCTATATATAATGTTTGTATGCTTTATACATATAAGAACAGTATATAGTGTATATATATAAAACAGCATATATGCTGTTTATGTATATATTAAACTATTAATAATTTTGCTAAATATCACTCAAAAGTGATATGAAATGTGCAATGGTTACTGTATACCTTACRCATTTCTGGAGAAATAGTATCATTTAATGGGCGCAGAACTGTTCAGAACATGTATGGCAAGACAGCTTCCACAGCTGTCACACACTTGCTCATCTTTTCAATACCAAGCAAAACTGACAGTTAAGCAACCAGAACAAGGACTGTTTAAATAAGAGAAAAAAAAAAAAAAGAAAAAAAGGATTTAACCTCCCTGGTAATTAAATTCAGCATATTCCTTCCTACTTTGTGCATGGGGAACAACACAGTTGCTGCAGGAAACACTAATCACGCTGTGCTCTAAAGACCCTTGCTCTCCTTCTGAGGGCACACTGTAATTTTGTGTGCCTGTTTGACAGCTATTTGAGGAGTCCTGAAAGAAGAATAACAGAAGGTGAAAAACAAAGCCTGTCACCATTTCCTGGCATGTACTRTTTAAATTAAGATATGAGCACAGGCAAACCCACAACTTTATTTTATACTTTCCTCAATAGATGTATAGATTTCATATTGAAATGCTGATGAATCATACAGCAGCAGAATTGTACAGAAATGCTTTAAGACAAGACATATTGCACTTACATTTTCATTTGACATATTTTGCTTGGTTGTCATGAAAACAATAACAAAATAACTCATCATTTAGTGCACTGTAGTGTATTTGTTTAACTTGTATATTATCATTAGGTAGCGAAACTTTGAAAAATAAAAGGTATTGTTTAATAATTACTATACTCTGCCTCACAGCAAATCATCATATGGTGCCTATAAAGAAAATATAACTGGAAATACTATCAAAACTGTTTACTCTACTTCTGATAGGTAAGTGCACATTAATAATGCTGTACAGTATCAAAGGGCATAGACATTTTGCTTTGGCATTTTGAGAGAAAACTTTGAGTGTTTAGACAAAAAGAGAGGTGGAAGTTGCCATCAGGTTAGTGAGAGAGATTTCCATAAAGAGCTCCCTTTCAATGGGATCGTGCAGACTAATCTTACATTTGTCTGACATTTAAAACAGCTATAGAAACAAAGGCAAATCCCTTAAGTGGGAGTTGGCTCTGTGATTCTGCAGCTTTCTGTCTTTGGTAGTTGCTTAMTCTAAAATTTCTTCCCCATGTGAAAATAGTGTCTGTGGTGATCAAGTTTAAGACAGATATGGATGAATAAGTTGACATTATAATGCTATTAAAAGCTTTATTTTTTTCACGTAAGATATTCTGAAATATAGGAAGGATATTTGCTCAAATTGGTAATATCTTACTACTTGGACAAAAATTTTAACTGTCCTCATAGATTTCAATTTAGATAATATGGATATTTTCATTATTCAGAAATATATAGAATCATAAAAAACTTACATCCTTTCTGATGTGTGTAAAAGGAATTCTGGAAATTATTAAAATATAAACACAATGGTTTATCAATGTGTGGATAGAAGGAAGATTCATTAAATTTACAAGGCAAAACCAACATCAGAAGTGGTGTCTAGAGAAAGGATAGGTCAGTATCATATGAGGATGCAAAAAAAACTAGTAAGGCAAAAAGATGCGCAGATTATTGTTGTTATGAGTAGCAGCACATTTCAGCAGAACATTTCACATATTCATTATAATGGCCCTGGATGTAGGATTTCTGTCTGCAGCACAGAAATTGGTCGCAGCCACCTCTGCAACATAGAGAATCTTGAACCAGACTGATCACATGATGCCACTTTAAATTCAAACACCAATTTGCCTTTGTGATTAAAATGTTCTAATCACACATTCCACTTCACCCCCGTTTTGTGTACATGCTCCCGTGCATTCAGCAATTTAATACAGTCTCATTACTGTTTGAAATAATTCAGTCCATCAAAGACCACCATTCTTTTTATCAAGGTATTTTTGCTGCTTGACAATTTTATTCATCATTTTGYCCTTCACGGGAGCATCTATATTATGCCTGTCAACTAGAGTGGAGGGAATGTACATGTGACATGTTTCCATTTATGATCATTGTACTGTGCACTAATGTCTTTCCCATGTATTACACTGAGGTAACCAATTTTCTCCTTGAGATTTCAGTGGTAGCTTTTTTTTTCTGACAGCTGATGTTATATTATATACACAGGAGTATAATTGGAAAAGATATATGTACATACTGCAGGAAGCCCTTGGGCATAGATGCCAAAATGATCTTAGATGCCTTGCAAATTTGCTGTCATTCAACTTGCTTCAAGGTAAGAAGATTAAACCTGCTACTAGTAAATATAATTTAAATGTAATACCTATGTTATATTACACATATAATAAGAGAATTAAGCCTTCTGCACACAGAAGAAGAGGAAAGCTTGCACACTGGAAGGGAGGATTAATCCAGGTAATACCGTCCCTGGCTTTCCCTCCCCATCTCCCTCCCTTTCCTTTTCTTTCTCCCTCTCTCCCCTCTTGCAACCACAAGGAGGATAAAGGACATGGTGACATTTATCCTGGTTCTCCTACACATTTATAAGCCTTCAGTTGCATTCACTTCCAGTCTGATATATCTAGTATATGCTACTTACATTTTTTTTACATTTTAAAATTTTGTTCCACTTATTTATATAAAATGTATTGTTCTATATTAACTGACACTTGAAATCATGGCTTATCAATGAGCTATATTCATTCAAGGATGAAATCATTTTGACCRTCAAAGTCGAAGAATTGGTTAAAACTGGTTAAAATTTGGGTCCTATRATTTGTTTCTTGTACTGCTAATAGGATATTGAAGTTGGATAGTCTTTATTTAAGTCTTTATTTACTAAAAATKAGTAGAAAATCTTGTTTCCTATTTCCAGTAAGAATGAAAAAAGGGAGACAAATTCTTCCTTTTAACTCCTAAGCTGCACTCAGTCCAAACCTCTATTTCAATGTTTACTCAGGATTCACCTACCAGACCAGAGCTCTGCTCTGTAGTCTGTGTTTTCTTGGGTTCCTGTTGTCTCCTTTCTCCTTGTATCCACATGCACCGAGTTCACTGTTATGGAAAACAGCACTAAGCCAAACCGCCTCCCTTGCACGGCTCATTTTCAGCCTAGTCTTGCATGGTTTATACTGCCGCTTCTGACAGCAGTTCCCTTACCTACTTACTGCAGGAAAAGTAATCCAAACCTGAACATAATGCTAAGATTGTGCTTTACAAACCAGTGTATGCTTTTTAAGTCATATGGATTTTCTGGGCCTTGTGAACACTAGATGTGTAATATTCCTCGGAGAAAATCACTGTGAAATATTTCCTCAAATGCATTGCTACAAATAGAAACAAACTCTGCTTCCATTGCTTTCTTTTTAAATGTATCAGCCCACATGAAAAAGAATGGACTAACACAGTTAGGAGCATTAACTTACTCCTTTAAAAAAAAAAAAAAAAAATTACTTTTTAAAATGGTATTCTTTTTGTTACTTTTACCATAATGGCAACTTGTCTAGTCAGAACAACTCAGTTTAAGTTCTGTGCAACTGCCTATTTATGAAAGTATTTACATAAAATTAAACTGCTAATGTAGCTCTGTGGTTCATGCTTGCAGTTATGTACTTAGCTAAGTACTGCAATAGCTCGTCATTAATATTCATTTAGCTCCTTGCAGATCCCTTATATCTTTAGAGAGTGCATGTGGTTGACAGGAGTATAAGGTCTTTGTTCCCTTTGAAAGCTCTATACCAAAAGCTCAGAGAATCATCTGCATTGTAGAGTGTGTCCTCTACAAAAAAATAACAGTTAAACCCAGTGATCAAAGCTTGGAAAACATCCCCATCATTTTGGTGGTTTATACAAGAAAATGTGAACTTAGACAGAAGAAAGAACAGAGTCTTTTGAATAGTTTAGGTACCCTAATACTAACAGCTTATTTAGAAAAGATATAGGAAAGAAAGAATAGTTTTGTAAAACTAGAAAAAAAAATTAAAAMATATGTTCTCTAGTCTCTCTGCTACACTTATAAATATTGAGTGTTCAGTTTCAATGTCATATTAGCCCCAGGGAGTATGTGTAATATGAGGCCTTTCCGGGCTAGTAGACAATTTGATTACTGAATGTCACTGTAAAAGTGATATTAATTTTCACATATCAATGAATAAACACTCAATAACATCAGAATTTCTCATTCTCTTACTGGCTAAAAAAAAAAAAGATGATGATCTGGAGGTCAAGATCCTGGCCTAAAGATTGAATAACTTAAGCTTGCAACTTGATCCACTGTAGAGTTTCCTTGTGATCTCTATATTGTTTTCTGTCTGAAAAAGAGGGAGATACTCCCATTTTGCATCCTCTATTAAAAAAAAAAAAGATTTTTCACAAATTTATTAAAGTAGTACTCAGATTCAACAATTATAGGAACATATTTAAAGGATAAGAAAAGTATCATAAAGCATTTTGAAATAAGTAGGTTTAGATTCCTTGAAATTAGAATATTTACTACTGTCATGTCTTTAAGTCTGGTTGTGCTTCCTTTGCTCCATGCAAATGAAAAATGATCTTCAAAGCGTGGTTGATCTTAGAATACTAAACTAAGATGGAGAAATCATCCTGCAGAAGCATGAGGACAGGAACAATTGATGACCATAAAGGGAACCTATGGAGCAAGTTCCAGCTTGCTGGAATACCTTATATCATTTTATTATTACTAGGAGTCTAAAGATTAAGTTTTTAGTGTAGATGAAAGCCACTCTTCCCTTAGAGTTGATGAGAATAGGGATTATGCAGTATCATCTGGGAATTTCAGCATCCTAGAAGACAGTGTGCTGGGAATGAATATTAGAGAAGGGTTTCATTTTTTTTACTATTACTTTTACTTGTGTGTCGAAGTGTGAAGTATGCAAAAGACCCCTGGAAGATCTGAGAGCAGGAGACAGCATTTGGATTTACAGACAAACTGTGCACTGTGAGCCTTGCTATTCCCAAGTAAGAGGTAAGAGAACAAAAAAAAGGGCAGCTATAGACAACTATAGAACTTCATTCCATAACGTTACAATATGCTGTTKCTTTTGCTTATATATGTGTACTCTAAATCTTTCTAAAATGTTACACTGAAGGCKGAGTTGTTTAGGATTATATCCAACTCCACCTACCTGTGCAGTCACTGCATATAATGATGCTGCTGATTCTTGCCCTGAAAGTCACTGGAATACCAAGGTCAAGGCCATCTGAGAACCAGGTGGCTATGCTTAAAAGATTAAACCAGGCAGCTGAAGTCTTTTCATTTCATGTAGCCATTCTGACCAATGAAGGAATGTATTAAGTCTATATAATAGAATATACACATTTTTTACAGTGAGTAGAATTCACACCCATGTGTAGAGCAGGTAAACATACAAGGTAGCAAAGAATGGAGCTTTTTCCATTARTTTTTCTAGGAGTTGCAGGATTTTATGTCTTCCCTGTTCAAGACAATTATTAATTCACAATACTTTAAATTAGGACCTCTCCGTTGAATAGACACAAATGGAATCCTAGATGAAATGTTCTGATAAGTTAGTGTTCAGTGATGGACTTTTTTGAGATAGTATTATGTTAAATGAAATTATAATAGTCAAATTGTTTTGTTAGAATATATAATGCTATTAAGCTATTGTAACATTTGATGGGAATAGTGAATTTTCCAATTAATTGGGTTAAAAAATTCATGAAGCATTGTGAAAGTTATAAATCTCTAAAACAAGGGAAAAAAGTCTGAACAATTAAATTGCCCTAAAGTTTCCTTATGCAAAATTTAGAGAATACTGATTTGCTTGGCATTTCTAACCATTCTTTTTCCTCTTGCAGAAAAATGGATCTACTAATTTGGAGCAACACAAAGCAAGAYAAATAAGTTCCACTGATGTTTAGTTAAGTGTATAGATTAATTCAAACTGCTATGGGAAATGGTTATTAYTACTAGAATTAAAATACTCTAAACGTGAATCCTACTGAATAGTTCCCAAAGGAATGAATTCCAATAGAATTTAAATGGGCTTTTAAATACATATATTGGAAAGAAAAACAAAATATTGTTCCATAAATTCATCAGATGTGTGAAACTGCTAAATTGCATGTAAAACTAATACTAATTTATGGAAATGTTTTCTACAGCAGGAAATATCTATACAAATACCTAGCAAAACTTTTGCAGTGGTTGTATTCYCTTTACTGGAGCCATGTTTCTTCAGATATAAAGAACTGTTGTCTTTAAATAACATGGATGGATTAATGTCCTCTAAGATTCATTATCTAAAAGTGAGTTATTCAGTATAAGCTACTGCTTATTCATATAGATAGATTCCTCCCGTGGTAGATTCCTCCTGTGCTGTTGAGAAGAGATATCAATATTCAGGGGAGATTGTTTCCAAGGAACTTCAGTGATAATTTTGAGGTGAAACAAATCATCTAGGCAAAATACCTATCTTTATTGACTGTAGAGAAATTCTAGACAAAAAAAAAAAAAGAAAAAAATAGAAATTTCAATTTATTAGWATCTCACTCCATGTTGTTAATCCTCAGTTAGGGTTAGTACCAATTTTTTAGCAAAAATGTACACTCAATATCTGCTATGAAGTCATGAAATATATACTTTGCATATATTGAATTAAGAAACTTGATTCAGTTGAAGCTGARTGAAGAAACACCTTAGACGGACTAATGACAGTTAACTTTAAACACAGTTTAAACATCTACATTTAAGTCACTTATCCTATTTTGCCTTTATAGACATTACAGATGCTTTTAGGAACGTATCAGATGATTTGATCATCTGATCAAACTGTAAACATCTATTTTATGATGTGGTAAACCACACGCTAACAGTCTGTCTTCCTTTCCACTGGCTGCCAATGAACTTGGCATGAATAACTGATTTCTAGATATCGGTTAGGCCAGAACTCCTTCCTTGGACACTGCAATTAAAGCAGTTTTTTTCTTATGGACAGACTATATTTGTTAAAATATGGAATAYAAGTTTCTACCACAGTCAACAGTTGTGTGTCTTCTTTGCCTAGATGTTGACTGCCATCCTCTGTATTGGGATGTTTTAGAGAGAATGATATTCAGAATTGATTTTACTTTCTTTTTTTTTCTTTTTATTTTTTTTACTCAGTTGTAAAGAATGTCTTAGATACCTGTTTCTGAACTAATCTGGTTTTTCCCCAAAGGCTGAAAAAGTAAAGCACACATTAGTGAAATGATATACCCCTCCTGCTAGAATAACCCTAGAGTAATGCCGATTGGATACAAAAGGAAAACAGGCATGTAAATAAATCTATTTTTTCTCTTCTTTTATGGAGACAGTTCCATTAATTATCTAGAACAAACATAAAAATAAAAGGAATCATAATAATAGAAAAGATGAATGTTCCAAAACTACTAAAATCCAAGCAGAGTTTAAAAAGTTGAAAAGTAGCAAAGACAGATTAATATTTGACTACTGATGGGCTATCCAAACCAAACTTTCTCTCTTCCTCTACACCTGCAGAAGTAGAGAATTTAAACCTTTGGAATCTCAGCTGAGTAAAGATGTAACCTGTGTTGTCCATCTTCAGTTATATTCAGACTTCTATAAGCAAACTATTTTAGCCATGAAGGAGCAGATAGTTTAGTTTGTTATTTTTATGGAATAAAAATAAGAATTTAAGGCAATAGCTTTAATAAAACATGTTATTATAAGCATTATCAATATTTTTCCTTGTGTATATGTCTACTGCTGTTAATGTATTTTATTTAAACTATGCTGGATGTTAAGCTGCATTTCACCAGGCAATAATGAAAGAAAATCTGGTGGGAATTAGTGGTGAAATTTTAATGGTGGGTTACAAGTTTGGTTCCATTCGAGACTAAATAGTATTTGCTGGTGCTTGGATACAATAGAAAATATTAGGTATTCATCTGAACAACACCACTAGAATCCAGGATTTTCTAGCTTTTGAATGGATGTGATACTGTAGTTCATTCCACTAGAAACTGGGAAATTTTGGATCCAAGTATCTCCTACTTAAATGTTCACTGACGGAGAAGCAGCAATAGAGAAAMAATAAATAGTAATTTTGTGCTCATTAATGCATCCTTGTTGAGCAGCCTTGTTAATTTTGCCTTTTTTTTTTTTTTTAATTTATTATGTGTTGTAAGTTTGCTAAAAAGAACCACTGGTTTTGTGATGCTGGATATTTAACATATAAGAGCCTCAATAGCACTACTCATTTAAAAAAAAAAAATTCATATTAACATCTCAATGCCAACGTATCAAAACTCAATTGTTTTTATCCTTTTTGCATATCATTAGTATGCAGTGTTTGATTAGTGCCTCCATGAAACAATCCAAAGGAATAGTTTGCTGGCAGCTGTTATAATGAATGTGTTATTCTCAGTAATACATTAAATTAGACTGAAAAGCTGTATTGAGAAATGCTGCACTAAATTATGTGGATTTTGTGATTCATCAGATCCATTTTTCAAATGTTCACTTCTTTATTTTACGAAGCAGGAGTATAGCTAGAAATGGGAAAGAATCAAGCAATTAGAGGAAAGAGATGAAATAATGTATACAATGCATATTGACACATTTAAAAGGCATAGATGACTTCAAAACCACTGATATTTGCAGCAAGAATGTGACAAGAGCTATTTTGCTGCATATATATATTCACTTGTATCCTGTGTAGGTGCTTATGAGGAGCCTCAGTCTGAGCATCCCTCAGCAGCACTGGAGTAGGACAACGAAAGTCTGCAACACTTTGCTCTCTCACCCTTTCCTTCTTGCAGCAAATGTCTCCTGAGGTTGACAAGACAGGCTCTGTCCTGCTGCTTGGAACCTCGTTATGTGGGATTATAAAAACCTGCTCAACATCAACGGGTCCTAGCTTTTATTCAATAGGAGAGCTCTACTACGTGCTTCTTGATATGAAGATGCGCACTGTGTTGGATAGTTTTGGGTGTCCACTTTATTCACTGAGGATGTACATAGGTCGGTCAGACCTCTGCTCTCCATGTTGCTCTCCTTGACATTATTAACATCATTGTATTAGCAGGGGAAAATATTCACTTTCCTGTTTATGACTTCCAATCATGCTTGCTTGCTTACTGCTACTGTGCTGTTGAACCAGGAGGTGGTTTTATCTTCCAGTCAGGTCAGTATCAGACTAGAAGGCAGGRGTGTTGCCTTCCTTTCTCTCTTCTACTAATACCAAAACATCTATTTTTCTTCCACAACAGCATAAAAGAGACATGCTTTTATCTATTATTCCAGTGTACAATCTTTGAGGTCTTAWTCTCATGAGATATTTCCTTCTTTGACTTCAAACTTTCTGGAYGCCTGCTGTCCTGTTTTGCTGTTGGCTTGGTCTGAATAACTCCGTTCTTTTCTCTTGCATATGTAAAACCAAGAGTTAGAAACACTGCTTATGTTTAAGGGAGAAGAATCTGTAGGTATTMTCAAGGCATGCTCGGCACAGACTGCTAAGATCAGACCCCCCACAGAAATACAATGATGATTRCTGTTATTTCAAGTCATTGGGATGATGATGCTCCTCTCTTTGAATAGAWCATTGGCTCAGAAACTGGGAGGGCCAAGTTCACTTTCCCCTCTCAAGGTAGACGTCTCAATGAAGTGGTGTCACCCAACAGTCCAGTCACTCATGTGTGCAATGAAAGAGATGCTCCCATTAGTGTTTGTTCCCTCTCCTCTGTCCTCTACAGCCTGGATCCTTATGGGCAGTGGATCCTTACAAAACAGTCATCCCACCTGTGCTGCCAGCTGTGTGGCCACATCTACRTCTTGTGAAAGGTGTTTGAACTGAAAATACAGAAATAGTCCCATAAAAAAGACCRGGTCTTGAAATTCCTTCATCTCATTAGAGAGGTCCAATTCATAATTAAAGCAATATTACTGATTCTCTATATATCTCAATTCTTTCCGGCCACATTAGAGGTGTTGTCCTGCTCCAGGGGAACCTGAATGCAGGCAATGAGGACAATCCTTGAAAATGGCAATTTGGGGTTTCATATGAAGTRTCCTCAAAATGCCCCCATTCACTTTTTTTACAAAATATCCTAATTTCTTTCAAGCCTKAATATCTTACTTGCCTTCCTAGCCTGTGAGCTCTTGGACAGGGACTGAGCCTGTGTTTGTGCAGTGCCCAGAACAGCAGTGGCCTCTGGGTGGTACTGCTGCACCTATGTTTGTGGCACAAGAAAACACTTGGTTACCTCCATCTCCAAGGAAGCCGCTTGCAAATTTACATTTTTTTCACGGAATTTTGTTAAGTGTGTCAGTTACAAATTGACAATCACGCTCTCATAGCATGTGCCAAGACTTCAAAGTGGTTGTTTTTGTCCTTTTAGAGTCAGTATCCGAGTGTATTTTTGCCAAAAGCCCTTGTCTGTATCTTGGCATTGCTGTGCAGTSATCAGACATCTGTTTCAGGAGCTCAGACAGCCAATGTGGTCCAAACAATGGGCAGCCAACATTTGAAACCCACCTCCTCCAAAGAGAAAAGGAAACAAAGAGTTGTTTCTGAAGGAAAAAAAATAAAAATCTGGCATTCAACCAGTATGGTTCCTAGTGGGAAACAAAAGAATCCAGGATGAGGGTTCACATATCAACACATCAAGCAGCAGGAAAAGGAGAAAAGATTAAGGGAAAGATTAGCGTGTTGTACACAGAAACCAATTAAGAACAAGTAAAACTGGGGATAAAGTACTGCCTACTTTAAAAGGCAGTAGTGCCCTGGTGTTGCCATATACGCATTGCCACTACAATCGATAAAACTTGACTGCAAGAGATATACTTGTGAAAACCTCGCTTTGTCCTCTTTATCTTCTGATTCCTCTAGGGAGCTTCCATCTATTGAGGTTAGYTGTGTTATCCCTGTATATAGTTCCAATCTTGGAATGAAGAGAGGGCAACCAGCTAACCTACTTGTAGCATTATAATCTCAAAGAAATCCCACATATTTTAAATCTTAAAATTTGGGAAATCCACAAATAATGCCAGTGGTACTCCATTTAAACATTGCTTTTATCAGCTCACCAATGAAATGCCTTTTTTTTTTTTCTCAGAAAATATTAGTTCTGTCAAGATAAAATTTGCCACAGGGGCAAGCACACCAGTTTTGGCATGAATGATATCGTGGAAAGCAGGAGGAGGAAACCCAAAGRAGTGGTTATTTTTCTGCCTATTCAGCTGTAGTGAAAGACATCACAGATCTGCAGTCAAAGGAGAGCACGTGCTTTGAGGATGACATTTTCTGGGTTTTTTGTTTGTTTGTTTTRTTTTTTACCTCAGAGATCCTCATGACTGCTTAAAAGTTAGATTCCTTCTCCTTCCAAACAGGATTTCCTCAGCGGGAATGTAAAATAGGAGATACTGCTTTTCACAAAGAAATTTGAAGAAACCTAAGGCAAAGGAAGAAGAATATATTCTTTACATAATGCTGTAGTGCATTCACTCTTCATAAACCCAATAGATGCTCTTAAGTGCCTTTGCAGTGCAAGTATTTCTTGCATATCCACTTTGTCTTGGAAAGGACAGGATTGATTATAGAGCAGCTCTCCTCACCTTGCAGTCTGACATTGTCTATATACTTGCAAAATGGGTGGAAACGGTCCAGAACCAGACAGTGATCGGTCATTCCCTACATCCAGGAGAGGTAGCACCATGGTAAATAGTGCGGAAGCACTTCTAGATATTCAGCAAAGATTTGTGCTCAATCAAACTGAATTTGGATGAAAGTGCAGGTGCTGTTTTAAATCATTTCCCCACCTAAGAACTGAACACACAAACATTTTAACWGAAGAAAAGGTTTCTGAACAACCGTAAACACTCCATGCTCTTTTGAGGTTGAACCAACCACAGTATCATTGGAACTCAGAGTTTCCTTTCCAGAAAACATATTTCCTACGGGGCTGAGAGGGCATTGTGATATTTAATTTTTCCTATGTGTCACATGACCAATGCTAAATATATTGCTGTTTATTTTTATAACATGGTGATTTAAAAACCAATCACTGCAGTATCAGGAAGCATTCAGTTTGTTGGCTTAAACTTACCAAAATTTTCCAAATTATAAAAATCACTTGCTGTTGTCCATATGATAGAGTTACTAACATAGATGACAGTTTTTCCRCTTTATTGCAAAGCTGCTGAATTTCTTAAATCAGCTTCTCTAACTGAATGCAGATAGAAAGAATTAAAGAAGACAGACGTAGAACAAAAGGAAATAAAACAATGACCAAAATCAATTGAGCCTGCCA